AAGCAAAACAGATAAAGAATCGAAGCAATTATTGATCATGTCTCTTCTTTAAAGGAAATGAAGATATTGTTCATTATTTTTTTTGAAAGAAACTTTAGGAAGCTTACTGAGATTTACCATTAGTTTTAAAGTTATCCTATAATCTATGTAGCGTGTTTATAACCCCTTTTTTATGTAGCAAGTTGATTTATTTAGATTGTGCCGTTTACTTATCGCTCGATCTTTTTGCACAACTTTTTAAAAAATCTTCTTTGTGATTGCAATTTCTGCATGATATATCATTTATCTTTCTTGTATCATTTATTGAATTTTTTCGTCTTTAAAGGGTTTTTAGACATATTTACACGATTGTCTTCTGAGGGTTTCTGTGTAATTGTTCACAGAACTCGAATGAATATTTTAGAGTACAGGCTAAGTATCCTTTAAGCTTTCAGGTTCATCTATTCTATTGCAATAGTTCATAAACATGTCACATTCAAATAATATATTTTGTGTTCCCTACAAGATTAACGACTATTGCTTTCGTATAATCACCAAACCAAAGGCTACCCTGTCAATGCGACACTTTTCTAGTTTCAGAGTCTTTTCATTTAAAGGATTGTAATAAATCTACATGTGTAAGACTCCTAGTTGTGATTATCTTTCACATGTTAAGCTTTGTCACAAAAGCACGTTAATATTTGCTTCACAGATTATACAAAGTTCAAGCGGTGAGAGGTTACTCAACTAAAGTGCACCAAAGGACGGATACATGTGTTCAGCATCCTGAAACAACGAGACAGCGAATTAATTCTTCATCTATAGATTAATATAACTTTCAGACCCCAGAATACATTTTCCCATCTTATTGCGATATTTATTGATTTAGAATTAAAAAGTTGTTACTATGTATTCTAGTATGCTTTTTCATATTACTTCACATTGGCATACACGTCTCTCAACATCAATACTGGAGATTGATACCAATGCGCTACTTTGGAATGAGATACAATAATGGGCATGTAGGTGCCAGTCAACAAGAAGAACTTTCTCTTCGGAGAATTAGTTTCGCTCTTCATAGTTCTAACATCATTGACACCTTGATAAGACGACCTCCTTGCGTGGATTGTGGTTCGTCTGGAAGTGACTGGCACCCTAGTATTGTTCAATAAATAAGTTTCTAATGTGGGCTCTAACAGAACGAAGATATAATGAAAAAAGTGTTGTGAAAATGAGATTTAAAGATAAAATGCAATAAATATCACTAGAATTAAGCCAAAACCTTTCATCCTGCTAAGCATTCTTGCATTCATACTAAATTAAGTATTACAATAACTTACTCAATTTTGGTAATATATGTAAAGTGTATTTCATATACCAAGGGCTCTGTTCTTTTTTTCAAAAATATATCAACAACAAAAGAAAGCAGTATTCTATTCTTAAAATAAACATTAAATATTGGAAAATATATGTAAACAACGGACAAGCCCGTCATTAGATTGGTGACTAAATCTGTTTAGCACTCTAACCAAAACCATTTATTGATACTATATGGATATCTATTCTATCACATTGTACGTTGTTTCAACTAGTAAGATATGATTCCACGATAAAGACTTTTCATTTTTCAAGAAAACGAAAGAGTGGACAAAACTAGAGAGCTGAATGTTGCAATGATATCCCCTGTGGTCGAATTAGCATAGTTGAAAGTCCAATAACACGAACAGGATCCGTTGTGTGCTGTGAATTATAAAGCTTTGTTCCAGTGGCCTCTTTCCTATTCCTTGTAGGAAATTTGTATAACGTAGCATCTTGATTCGGTTCAAACCCTGACATAAGACACTCATTGACTGAGATCCAAAGAGGCGTTCGACGCCTCAAAGAGGTAAGAAAAGTTTGGTGTTGTTTGCCTAAAACAGGACGCCATTTAGAGTCTAGCATAAAGTGAACACGTTTGCTTGTCTTGGGGAAGAGAGATAAAATTTCTTCTGGACGTGAAAAATCGTCAACGTTGTAAAAGCCCTCCATGCCTTCCTCACCGGGATCGGTATCACCCGCCGCCGCACCAATAGTAACGAAGTGCTTCGTGTGCTTCGGATGAATACGAACACCAAGGCGCCTCGCACCAGACTCAGTAAGCCATAGAGGACTAGATAAGGTATGCTTGAGGGCAAACGCACGTAGAATGGACTCGTCACGATGGCCAACCAACTTTCCGTTAAGTATAGCAATGGAGCGGACCGAGGGCACAGTCAGGTACGGCTTAGTCATGCAGCATGCATTATAATAACGCCGAAGGGTAGCATCCTCTGCAAAAAAAAAGAAAAATGGTTTCCTTCCACTGGAACATTGAACTGCTAATCTCGTTTTCGCGTGATGCTTGACATTTTTCCCGGCATCTGGAATTTCTAACAGAGAAACTCCAATAGGTTTGTATTTGGAATAAAAATTACTCGCCATTTTAGCATACTGCGGTTTTTGTATATATAAATTTGTAAGATTGACAAAATGAAATGGATACTTTTTATCATTAATTGCCAACATGTGATTTACTAAAACGGAGGATCGAGTAGACTCCCATCCGTTTACATTGTAAATGAAAAAAATGTCAAACCCGAATGCATCAGGGCAACTTCGAGTAAGTTCAGCAAGTAGATCATCTCTACACGGTGCCGGAAGAACAGATAGAGGAACAATAAAGCCAGTCATATTGGGAGCAACAACAGCTTCTTTATGCGCATGTGTCTTGAGCTCAAGGTTTATGTACTTGAGTTGGCGTTCGGCAATCCACATGGGGGATGTGTAGCCACGCAAGATTCCAACTCCTAATAGAATGTCGTGCGCAGGTTGTCCTAAACGCTTCCCAGTGATTGCGTCAAGAGCCACTCCTTTTTGGGGCTCACCTTTGTAAGGATCGTCTAGCTGTTCAGCATTAAAGACAAATACGGAGCTAGCGGGACGAATATCAATAACGTCTTGGCGTTTGTATTTGATACCTAACTCCTTTGCAATTATCACATCAATGAACAACGCGCGATCCTCTTCGCTGGGATTTAGCAACTGAATGAGCCGCCCAGCTGTGACGGCCTTCCATTTTCTCCGCTCAGACAAAATACCAACGCCTGATCCCAAAAAAGGTGGATATTCATCAACTATCCTCTGTTGTGTCAGCCTAGGAAGAGATGTAATGGGTATCACTGCCTCGACTTGCAGATGAATCGGCACAGGGCTCTCTGTTGGAAGTGCATTGGCGTTACTGGAACGGTGCGCTTGTGGTCGGGTTATCCAATACTTGCTAGTAAACATATGCCTTTTGGCATACTCTCGAAGAATTTTTTGACAGTGTGATGGAAAAGGGGCATTCGTCACTGACGAGAGCATCGTAACCCCATTTTCTACGGGGGGAAATTTTGTAGACAAGGAAGGCCTTTGACGCAGATAAAAAAAAGTTCTAGAGATAAAGCCTTTCATTTACTTTTTGACAGCAGACATATAAATAATGAGTCTTTGAGGCGGCTTCTAAAAAGTAAAAAAGACCTCTTCATATACAAAAAGTTGATTAGTGATGATAATATATAATCAATACTGATCATTCGCGTCTGCATATGTTAAAAGAAAATATTGCTGCGATACAATCGCTCTTCTTCGTTGTTCTCGAGCTTTTAATCCCTCATTTATTTTTATATTGAGTGGCAAATTATAGTATGCCACTAAAAAAAAAGCTTAAAAAGAATCATCAGTAATATTTTTCTCAAAATAAAAAGACCATTACTTCAAAATATTTCACTTAATTATTACATATAACATCCTACTCGTAGATCTGGCAGGAGGAATGAGAAGTCCAGCTGATGATTTCTTCTGGTTTAAACCAGAAGGAAATCTCCCGCTTGGCAGTTTCCACAGAATCAGAACCGTGGCACACATTGCGACCAACATCGACAGCAAGGTCCCCGCGAATAGTACCGGGAAGCGCATCAGCAGGGTTTGTGGCACCAAGTATCACACGACCAGTCTTCACCACATTTTTCCCTTCCCACACCATTGCGACAATCGGGCCAGAAGAAAAGTATTCCACAAGAGAACCATAAAAAGACTTAGAAGCAAGATCAATGTAGTGACCCCTAGCTTGCTCAGCAGTGGGCTGAAGTAATTTGAGTGCGATCAATTTGAACCCCTTGCGCTCAAAGCGAGCTATTATTTCAGAAACCAAACCGCGTTGGAGACCATCAGGTTTGATAGCGATGAAAGTGCGTTCAGTAGCCATTTCGAATTAGGAATGTAAAAGAAGGTGACTTTTTTTCGAGTAAAGATCTATCAAGTGGAAATTGGAATAAGAGCAATTTTACGATTAATTCACCATTGAACAAGAGATCATCTTCCCAAAAGGATTTCTCCTTATAGCTACGCATAGAGAGAGGACTGCGCAGTGTTTACCGAAACCAATTTCTATTTTTTGTGAATAAAGTATGAGTAGAACCAGCAAAATAATAATACAAAGCTGAGGAAAATAGTCCTTTGCCCTCATTGCTCTGAAAACTCTACCGTATGATCTGTTACGTTCCACACACCAACATCAGAATACGTCTGCAAACATCTTTGCAAGTGTGACTCAGATATTCCTTTCATCATCAAAGTTGGTCTTACTTCTGAAAGATCAATTGCAGTACGCCCATAAGCTAACTCTTTAATTATGGTGAAAATAGAAGCATCTGACGTGGATACAGTTCTCCTTCCATCAGAAGTTGGACGATCCTGTAACGATGCCTTGCTGCAATCAAGAAGCCGGCCTGCTTCTCGAACGTCCACTTCCGTAACGCGTTCAGAAAAACGCAACCTTGCGCAAGCCTGTGAAAGTCGAATAAGGCTCAGTAAGGTTCGCGCTGTCACTACATTGCTTCGGTGCGTAGCCTGAGCACGCATTTCACAATATATGTCACTCATAGCTTTAGCAGCAACAGGATCCACAGAAGGGTGGATTCTTTTTGCTTCACCAACATATGCACGAAGAAAATCCTTTCCAAAATATTCAGAAGATGAACCTTGGACTGTGCTGCTTGATGTTGCTCCAGGTGCCACACCATGGAGATGGACATGTGTAACATGCATAGAAAGTTCAGTATCGCGCTCGCGGGTTGATTCATCTAGCAAAAGCCACAGAAGATCAAAGCGAGAGAGCAGAGCTGGTGGTAGGTTGACATTTTCGCTAGGTGTTGCATTTCGACGCCATCTGCCGTACTTTGGATTGGAGGCTGCCAAAATGGAGGTTCGTGCGTTGAGAGATGTAATAATGCCAGCTTTGGCAATGGATACGATCTGTTGTTCCATAACCTCATGCAAAGCAGTTCTATCTGCTTCATCCATTTTGTCAAACTCATCAATACAACAAACTCCCTTGTCAGAAAGTACAAGAGCGCCCCCCTCAAGCATTATCTCTCCTGTGTGTGAATCTCGCGTCACAGCCGCGGTGAGACCAACCCCAGAACTTCCTTTACCCGTAGTAAAAACAGATCTGGGAGCCACAGATGCAATCCACTTGAGTAGTTGACTTTTTGCCACACCAGGGTCGCCCATGAAGAGAATATTGATATCACCTCGAATACGCACACCGTTTTTAATAGAGCTACCCCCGATTAATTGGCATAAAAGCGCTTTTTTCACATCCTCCATTCCCCATATCTCTGGAGCAATGCTACGCGTCAACTTCTCAATTACTGCTTCACGATCTGGATAATTCTGTACATTTTCTATCTGCCCTCGTAAATCCTCAGCTGTCTCATCATAGCTACGCTTTTCCAAAGCGATATGTATAGCTCGATAGAGAGTCTTAATCATTGTCGACGCTCGGAATGCCTCGTGGCCCTGACCAGTCGATGGATCAGGGCAATAAGTTCCAGTGATTTGAATGACTTGACCGGGACTAGCAACCCTGGTTTGTTCACCTTCACATATTACTCGAATTGTTCGTGGTATTGCACCTCTCGGTACATCTTGGGGAAGTTCCTGCACTCTCAACTCTTGGTATTTCAAAAACTTGCTTGCTTTGTACTGGGGAAGCAGTCTGCCGATTGCATTTTCCATTTTGCACCGTTGCGATTGGCATACCTGCTGTGGTGTTAAGCGGTCACCAATAACTTGCTGGAAAGTGGTCTCGGCACAAACTTCACAAACAGATACTAGCATAACCAATTTCGGCCGAACAGCAGTTGCTGCTATGCATATACCACGCAGAACAGTAAGTGTACCAATTGCGGCACCTTTAAGGTTTCTCAGGGAAATAGGAACTGAAAAACCACTGAGTGGTACAATGTCCAGTTCATAACGACGCGCCAACGCCGGAGGAAAATCTTGACCGGAAGCTCGAGCTTCAAATAGCAACTGATCTATCATGTCATCACAACGCCCATTATGCGGTATTAAATTATCGATTACCCTAAACAGCTCTTCCATGTATCCAGACACATTCATTTGAATACGTTGAGCAAGGTGAAGCTGTCCGAACGAAGACATATCATCTAGTTCTATAGAGAAAACTTTAATATTTCTCTCCGCTACTTCGTTAGCTCTATTAATGTATTTGGCGAGCCCATTAGCATCACGATATTCTTTAAAAAAACGAATAAATATTTCACGGTCACTTAAATAATTAGGGTATTTCCCACTTGCAGCAGCAATATACCCTTTTTTGTCATTCATTGTTAAAAAACACTTATTTGAAGATTCATATCCAAAAAAAAATACCTAATAAGAAAAAAGAATCATTACAATCGTTGACAGCAATTTGTAATTCTAAACATTCTTTTAAAAAAAATGAATCATTAGTGCATCTATTTCAATAGTTTCAATTCAACAGGAAAACATACAACTGTCTGTAAACTTTAATGGATCCTAACCATCAGATGAATTACAGAAACATTTAAGATGTGATATAGACCAAGTTATACAGAAGAGTCTTCGTTCGATAAGAATAGGCTGAATATACGACAGTCAAAGATTGTTTTCACTTCTTCTATAAGATTTGGAATTCCATAAGTCAAGAAAGCCGAGCGAGGAGAAAAACATGTTACAAACACTCAGCAAGCACTTCTTCGGCTTCATTAAATAAGGATTGCGCCTGCGTGAGTAGCTCTTCATCATTTATACATTCCTTTTCCTTATTTAAATAATCAGAAACATCCTTTAGCGCTGTTCTGATACGGTTTGTAGAATGGGGAACCATCATTTTTGCTTCATTAAGAACATTTTCTTGCTGAGAAACTCTGTCCGGTATTTTTTCTCTAATTTTTTCAAGTCGCTCTGCTTCTTGTTTGACTTCCTTTCTTGCAAATGTTAAATCTTTCATTGTACGACGAAGAACGTTGAGTTTGACTCTTAAGGTTTTTGCACTTCCAAGCTGAGCTTGGTTACTAGCTTTAGCTTCAAATCGGTTTACCTTTTTTGGATCAGACATTGTCTGAATTCACGACAAACCTATGGGAAATAAATGTGGCTTCAACCAAACGTTAAGTGATCTTAACTAGGAAATAAACTGGAAGAAAGAATTATGAAATAGCATTATCGTATAAATCATAAAAAAAAATACATACATAATAATTCCATTATGTTTTTCTTTTCTAAAGTAACAGGGTAGTAGAATAATGCAGCTATTGTTAAATTAAAGCATCGCAACATTAATTTTTAATCATCACTCTGATCAGCAGAGAACATTCCCTTCTCATTGATCATTCCATAAAATCCAAGAACTTGCTTTACCGTGGTAGTTGTAAAATCATCAGATCCTCCAAATTCATCAAATCCAATAATACTATGGAACGTGTTTTGCTTTTCAACAAGCATTAGTGTCGGAAGCATCATGACATTAAATCTTTGGGCAAGTGATGGTATTCTTTCAACGTCTACGTAACAGAAACGGGTCTCGAAGTGTTCTTTAGCAATGAGACGAATGTGTCGTTCAATAATTTCGCATCGAGGGGTACTACGCCGCATAAAGTGGACAACAACTCGCTCAGAGCCTTTTACCCAATCAAAAAAGTCTTTAGGTTCAGAGACCTCGAGATATTGACCATGCCCTTTTTTTAACCACTCCTCTCGTCGTACTTGAATTTCCTTGACCTGATTAAGTCGCTTTTGCCGAATCGCACGTAATTCATCGTCATCCATCTGATCGAAACGTTCAAGCTCATCATCAACAGCGCGTTCGATTGTCTCCGCTATTTTTAATACTGTCTGATCGTTAAACTCATTCATTTGCGTGATTATTTTCCTTATATTCGGTTAATAAAATTTGCCTTCTTATTCGTGCTTTAAAAATTAATAATAATAGATCTAGTATCGTTTTGTGGCCTGAAATATAATTAAAAAGTGATATAGTAGCAAATAGAAATGCAAGCATATATAAAACATACTGAAAAAGATAACTTTTAGTGACTTGAGCAATTTATTTTATTAATGTTTGATACGATTCAGTCACGTTAACGGTTCAGAGAACCAAAGTATGTATCAAAAAACTCATTAGTTTTTGTACATCCAGACAGAATCTTATCATCACCCTTATTCAGCACCTCCTTCATAAATCTATATGAAGGACACGCTTGATTGGAAAAATAAGGTAGCAAACAGGAAGCTGTCTCATAAAAGGTCAAAACGGTTTTCCGAAATGAGTAATTACCAGTTAAAAAAAAATTCTGAAAATCTTTACGGAGCGATGACGGGAAATAAGAAATGCCATAAACAAAGCTATCACGCACCTGTAGAAGTATGCTAGCAACAGAAACTTTGTCTCGTGAGCGAGCATATATCTTAGCGCTCGAACGTACAGCTGAACATGCTGCTGCTGTTTGATCAAGTTTTGTGTGGTATCCCGTATAATTGTTGAAATACTCAGTAATCTCATATATAATAGAATGATACAATCTTCGAACTTCCGAGTGTGTCAAGTTTCTAGTATCACCATAGCGTTCCTTCAATGCGTGCCAGTTATATGAGTTGAGAACAGGCGCATGCATGGGATCAATTGAGCTAACATCTTCTGGAATATTGCTGAGGACTACAGCAATTAGAATCATAAGAAAAATGATAATGTGTAAAAAACGCATCTTAGAAGCACTAGCTATGAATACGAAAGGAAAAAATGGAAAAAGTTAACGAAAGACAACAAAATAATAAGATGATAAATGTAACAATGAGTTAATTAACCCTCATACATCAGCAAAAACTCAATAACGGGAATATAAGAATTATTCTTAATATACTAGTAAGCTAGGTAAAAACTACCAATAGACTTTGTCATAACTTCAAGGAGTGGGTAAAAAAACAAAACATGATTCTCATAAAAAACATACCGTTACCCTCAACTATGGATATACTCAGAATCACTCTTCTAAATATATAACATTAGAAAACCATGTAGGAATCCTGACAAAGAAATTACAATTATGCTAAAATCCCAAACCACAGCTAGGACGAACCAACCCCAGAAAGGGGGCAAGAAAAACCCACCCTATCTGTACCGAGGACTTCCTGAAGACAGCGCGTCAAAGGATAAAATTCAACTCAACTCGCCACCAATGGTAGAAAAATGATATTTCGATTTGACACCTATGAGATCAAAAACAGTTAAAATAGTGGGATCCTGCCCCCCACCACCCACAAATTCCAAAACTGAGACGTTTAAAAAGGCTATTATGGGGGGCCCGGGGGGGATACAAGGGGCCGAGGGCCCCCCCCCCCCCGCAGGAACAGAATGCCCTATATTCGAATTTGGCCATAACCTCAAACATGGAGTACAATTATAACCGTATATGATATTGATACATTAAATGATATAAATGATGTTTAACCAATTATAATACATCATAAATACCACAGAGCCACACGACCCAATGCGAGGAACCGGTGGCCCCTGGCGGCCCCCGGGAAAACCACCCATTCAACTAGAAGAAGTATAAAATTGAAAATAATGTATATTTAAAATATTAAGCAGTATAAATGTTACATACACTAATTAAAAAAGAAATAAAACATACCAGTTTGAATTTAATTTCTGATTTAATGAAGCTATAACAACCAATAGATATATACACATATGGATTTGAATTGGCGTAATTATTTTTGAACCATATTACACATTTTGGGTGTTGATTTAAACAATAACTGCTATTAAGACAGTATTATTTTCTAAAGACTTATAATATCCGATTTATTTAATTGGCATCAAGAATTTTGGGGATCAAATCAGAATTTATAAAGAAAAGTGAAAAAACACCTAGAGGAAGCCACCCCGCCACGATATAAGTTGTATTTCATATAAATATTATTAAATAATCATTCTTATTTGTTTTTATTTAATATTTTATAAATTCTTCGACTATCGGTAATTAAGAACAATACAAACAAGTCGATGGCTTTCAATACATCGAGCGCGTCCACTTCACCAAAATAAAAGCACGCGGCCAAAAAGAGTAAATTCTTGCATCAGCATTTATTATACCTTTATTTCGACAAGAATAAACTTAGTATTTATTTAATAGAAAAAATAAGTGACATTGCGTGTTTTGCGGGGTTATTAATAATTTTACACAATTTTAATAAATTTTGCATAATTGGCTTTTCGATACTTATGGGTTAATATTGGAGTGAAATTGATATTTTCCATGAAATATAGTTAATTAAATTTGTATTAACAATACTATTGCATAATATTATTACAGAAAGCCATTCAAGCTCCCGTGGTATAATTTTAAAATTTTTTTGTGCATGAATAGCGCCACCCCGTAGTATAGTATTATTTTTACTATAAAATACTTACTTAACATATCATTTAGATGATTGAAAAATTAATTTTATTTTATATTTATTGTTTTATATCTTTAAGGCTAATACGTAAAGGATAATAATTTTAATGCTAATATATATATATGCTATTATTTTTTTTTTTTTTTAGATCATAGTTATATCGAATTAATGATATAGAATATGTCAGTTATACAAGCAAAATTTACTTTCCACCTATTTGATCTATTCATATAAGCAAATATATTATATTTCAGTTGTGGAAATTCCTGTTATTACAATTAAAGTTTTATTTATTGCTATGATTTTATTTATATTTATTTAAAATGGGTATTATATGAATTTTTTTTTTGTATCATATTTTTTCTAAAAAATATCATTTGCTTATAAGTGGTGTTTGGTAAATTTAGGCACCACTGATTGGTTGTATTCCATGGGATTGTTCTAAATGTATTGTTATAAACTTTTATAAAATTATATTTATTTTACTTATTCGTGTATAGGAAACTTTAGCGTAGTTTTGGTTATTTAAAATAGAAAATTTTGTATTATGTAATGATATCATTCTTTTATTTAGTTGCTTTTTTGCTTTGGTTGTCATGGAAGAGCGCCGGGGGGGGGGGGGTACATCTCCTTATTTTAAAATTTTATTTATCCATTTCAAAATTTATATATCTATCTAATTTGATTTTTATAAAATAAATTCGATTTTTTTGTGTGAAAAAAAAACTATTATCGCTTAGTCTAAATCGTTTTTTGGGTATGTCGGGGGGGGGGGGGGGGGGGCTCCCCCCGGATGCCATGGTCCCAAGTCTCCTCTCCTATTCTCCCTAATAGGGGGGTGGGTCTTGGACTCGTGATTCAGAGTAATGTGACTTTTGACCCTAAATTTTCCTTTTTAGGTAGTATCGATGCAAGGTTTAGACTCCTTTTCTTATGCACAGTGCTATTGCGAAGAAAATATTTATCACTTGCTTCTTGAACTGCAGGGTGAAGGCTCTCCTTTTGAAAAGAGTTTTGCTGTTGTGGTAAGCTCCTATAAAACTTCATTGATTCATGAAAAGGCGAATATATGGGATTCATATGTTCCTTACAGGTCCTTTAAGATGAATAACGTTGATGATTTGCTAATCTGGGATTATCATGTCTTCGCAGTTGTTCAGGCAAGTGAAACAAGAAAAATCTACGCAATAGATTTTGATTCCAACCTTGCGTATTTTGACTCCGTTGGATCACTTGGAAAATGGGCTTTCCATTGCAAGGATTTTTCACTTTATATTAAAGAAACTTTTTTTTTGGATAAGAATCAATTGTTTACTGCCTTCGACGGACTTTCTGCTGCGCTAGATGATCTTTCCTTTAGAATAGTTGAGGGATTGGATTACATAACGTTCTTGCGAAGTGACCGCTCACATATGCAGAATAAATTAGGACAATATAAAAAAAGCCCTCCAACTGCACCTCCAATATCTTCCTTTGCTAATTGTGTTGATGAAGAACATAGAAAATGCTATAAGTTAGTTGAAGAATCACTTGCAGTTGAAAAGAAAAAAAATAATTTAGTCTGTTTTATAAATATGAATAATGTGTTATTTCCAGGCATAATTGTGGATCGGCACTATTTGCTTTCTTCTCTGAGCTGTGGTTTATAATTAAAGCTCTTTACTTTCAGTGGTTGATGACTCATGCGTTTACTATTTTTTATCCAAGCGTCTATAAATAATGAAAGAGATGCAAATACTATTAGTATTTCTCTTCCGCAATGCTTAATACTTTTACATATATACACGAATAGATATACATTACATAGTTATTAATGTTCTTCGAGAGTTACCTCAACGGGTATTTTGGCGATATTCCATATGTTAAGCCTGTTGAAAGTCGTGCCTTTTTCCAACTCGTATCAGAGGCCCGACTGCATAGGCTATCAGAAGCCATGATGCTTAATCCAAGGGAGATTGATTATTTTGTTCACCCAGAGAGCAAACTGTATTCGATTGTTAAGTCCAATTTCAAGCGAAGCACTTCTAAGATAATAAAAAGCACACCATATCCGGAACTGAAAACCGATTATTATTCTGTAGATACATTCAGCGCAGGTTCGACACGGAAAATTATTCATATCCAGGAGTCTGTATCACGCGTTTTCAGAACAAATAGTAACCCGAACGCCATCAATATAGTAGGACTGGATTTTTATGGGATACAGAAAATATGGTCAGAGCTCATAAGATTCATGTTTGGATGTGGTCAGAAGACTAGTCTACATTTTGCTATTCCTAATTTAGACATCTACTTAAAGGATGATCTAGGAATTGGTGATTTTCTCCTTTCCCTACTTGTTATAGGTGTTGCATCAATTGTTGATTTTTTTGCCTCAAGAGAGTTGAATTCAGAAAAAATCGACAACGTGTTACTTGAGTTTACAGTTTACAACAACAATTACGGGAGATTCATCGCGGACACTTTACATTTTTTTTGTGAAAATACATTAAACCTACGAGTATCACACAGTTTTTGTTCTTCCGCTGAAAGAGACATTTTTTATCATAATTTCTTCTCATCGATAGTCAGTGTAGAGATTTCGTCTCTAAGCGAATTGGTAGAAAATGTTAGGTCTCAATGCGTCGACAGACACGAGGAATTATGTGATTTTGAAGTATCTGAAAATGTATCGTCAACTCTAGCGCCTATTATACTACTTATCGTGCCGCTACTCAACTCAATTCGTCATAGTTTAAAGAAGAGTCTCCTTGACAGCTACTCCTATGAGCCTATTATCGTGTTTTCAGATATAGATTGGGATGCAAGTATATTGGATCAGAAGACACCAATTATTTTTTTCTGTTCATCGGCATGGATATCACAACAGGCTTGTCTTACAAAATACGAGCAGGTTTTGAGTAAGCTTAATATAAAGACGATTCTTCATTGTGGCTTCATTGAATTTGGGTTGACAATTGAAGAAGAATTGGTCGAGACGATAACGTGTATAAAGGTCCTCAACCAGTCATCATTTGATATTTCATTTGTAAAGCATTCACCACAATCATTTTCCAAGAGCATTGCATATCCTCCTAGAGCGGACTTGATTGAAGTGGCTGGAAATGTTATTCTTCTCATGTTTCGGCTATTTATGATGAGGTTTGATCCGGTTTCGAAACAACCATTTTTCACTTTCCAAAGAAATATTTTTTTCACCGAAAGGGCATGGAGACTCTACCTAGAGTGCGTCTCTAGGCTATCATTAGGAGGTCTTATAAAAAAGGCTTATGGTCAGTCTGACTGTCCGACAGTAGAGTTGACTGTGTTAGGAAGGCTCCTATCATTTAGGTTCAGACTTTCCGAAAGCAACATCGAAGGACCAGAGTTGTCACTCATAGATGCGAAAATAGTAGTTTGGTCACACTTACTAAGACAGCATTTTCAAGACGTTTGTGGACTCATTCAGGAAAGGTATATTTTTAAGGATTGGATTGAGTCTAATGTGAAGAGATTTTGTGACACTTATAACATAATTTTTACTGATAACAGGGCTAATGGTTTTCAGTCTTTAATACGTCAACTCTCTAATGTTGGAATAAATGATTTGAATGACGGGAAAAGGACACACATTATTTTGAGTGCGACATCGGGAAGAAGGGTTCCTATTCAGTTGCATTTGTCAGATCGACGTGTCACAACGTGTCGCGGTTGGTTTGAGCAGGCACCACTTCAAACAGGTCTTGTTACAGAAAAAAGAAGTGTTGATACTTTTTGTTTTCCTCCTAGTTCTTTGTACTGTGATATTGAGGTTGCGTCGAAAGGGTCTATTCTTCGAATCCAATGTCCAACAGAAGTGTCGTACCCTATCATTGTTGCTTACTTAATCTTGCACATTTCCCTCCATAACAACTGCATTTTTGTTGAATCGTTGGGAGCGGTGCCACCTATATCTCTTCCTATTAATATACTACAGTCACACACGATGCTAACTTTGTTAGAGGATTCAGAACTAGATAATGCGGGATTATGGCTTGATGGGATCATGTGTGATGCGGCTTTGGCACCTTCAGATTCATCTATGCTAGTCCATCTTTTGTTGAAGGGGCAAAATTTTATTAGAATATGTGAAAGAGCTCCTTTTACACGCAAAAGAAAATTATATAAAACTGAACGTAAAGATAATGTTAATCAAGACACAAGTGGAGTATTTACCGGCGTTACACCGAGATCGTTATCTGAGGCAGATACAGTAGAGGAATTTGTAAGTTTGGTAACCACAATTGGTAGAGAAAAGGCAGAGAATACATTTAGGTACAAAAAGGGGTTTGCATTTCTAGATCCAAGTCATTATCTTAACCCGTACTACCTCCACCTTCTAACTAAAAGCGTTTATCAGTGAAACCATGAGGAAGAACACTGTATTTTATTTTCCTTACCCTTGAATGATATTGTTTTTATATAAGTTTTATCCCAAAAATTCTGCCTGCTTTAAACTTTTTGTGCGTCATTTTCTTCTTCAATCCTTTTTTTTTTTTGTAGACTTATGCGTGTGGTAACAAAGTCAAAGTCACCAAGAAGAAATATTTTTGTCTATAGTTGTACATACATACAACACGTTATAAAAGCACTGTTTCTCTTCCTTGCATTTTTACTAATCTTCATGAGTTGGTATTGCACGCGTTCACTTCCGACGCCCATAAACGGGAAATGGAGTTCCAAAAACACCAGTTCCACTCTGCTTATTAGATGCAATGATTCAAATACAAGTGGATACCAGGCATCTTACGATTTTGTGCTGACTGATTACAATTTTCATATTTTTATGTTTATCGTTCCTCTCACCAATAGGGAATGGCTTTGGATTGGTAAATCACAAGGCGGAGTACTTACTCTTCACCATAGTGACGCTAGGCTACTTTTTAGTTACGACAGAAAGGACCTGGAATCGAATCTACGGGTTTTTGTACGAGTGCCCGGACATTCTTCCACATTCTTTACTCATGCGCTAAGGGCAAAATCAAAATATTTGCTTTCCTTATTTTTTCTTATTTTCGCTTACAATTTTTTTCAGATCACGCAAAAACCTGCTCACCACCTTAAGAACTGTCATATTCAACGTAGAAAATTTCAAGCTCAGACATTGAATTAGTGTGTTTATGAGATTTTTACATTCTATTATTACTGTAACTTATTTATTGCGATCGACATTTCATCCTTTTTCTTCTATTTTTTGTTAATAGAGAACCAAATGCTATCCTTTTTAACCTTATCTACTATGTCAGCGCAAGAAGTGAAAATGATTTGAAAAGTGCGTTTATCTTTAGTTTGATGACTTTTTTGAACTCTAACTTGCGATTTAGGACCTCGTGAACGACGTTTTTTTTTGCCTCGGAGTGACAGATAAAGTTAATGTTTGAAAATGTCATATGCTTTCCATTACAATTGTTGTGGAAAAGATTTAACATGTTATTACCTTCGCGTAAAAATTCCAATTTTTCATTTAGAATGAAGTACTGTTGTACCTAGGGAAAGATGGGCATTACTCATTCCTTTTTTTTCCAATATTTCTAGAATTACTCATACGTCAGTTTATCTGTTTTAAAAGCTTTACGAAGACACAATGAATGAAAATCAACCAAAATTTTTTCCTCCTGTGCTTGAATCTAACTACGAAAGCATATCGCAGATACGAACGATGTGTAGCCTCTTATCTGGCATGGCTGCAGGTGTTCTTGGCTTGAGGGGCATTTTTGGACTCTTATTTTTCGTAGTGACTTCTGCGGTAGCCTCATTCATAATCTTAACGGTTGGCTGCAATGGAAGTGCATTAAAATACTTTCCAAGAGGGCCCAAAGAATTTTTCACATTCGAAAGTATAATGTGTGGTGGTATGACGTACATTCTCGCATGGATTGTTGCATACGATGCGATATATATTTTCTAACACGCATTAATGGGCTTTTTCAGATTGTGTTGACAAACTTGAAATATTTATATATTTTTATTTACTGCTCTCGTGTGATTTTAATAAGCAAACTTGGGAAAAAATCAATATTTATTTTTACTTTTTCATTAAGTCTGCCTTTCCTTTTTCCTTACCCATTTTTTTCTAGATAGTATTTTGCGTTTGATTCTCTATTAACTTTAAACAAAATCACTTTAAAACCTTTTATATCATACCCGGATGTCCGTTTCCATTGCTTCCCGTACACCAAAGCGCTCAGTGGGGCATCTACGCGGGGAAAAGCCAACAGGTGTGCATATGAACTGTAAAAGGCTTTATAGCGTACGAGACATTTGCCTTGACAATTACGACACCGAATACATGTACCTGCGTGAGAACCGACTCACTAAATTTGATGTGGAGGTCAAGTTGCAATACCTTCGCATCCTGGATTTATCCATCAATAACATCGGCGGTGCGGTTGATTTTCTTAATAAAACTCCACATTTGCATCACTTGTACATGACTGGGAATAAGATTGAGACTCTGCTTGGCATATCTAACTTTGCAGCACTTGAAACCCTTTGCCTCAGTGATAATGCTATCAGCAGTTTTGAGGGACTCGAAAATCTGCCTTCCCTCCGTGTGCTGTCACTTAACTTCGACAGTATCTCGACGTTTAAACACTATCCCACTCTTCCCAACCTCCACACCCTTAACCTTGTGGGTAATCCGATCACTGAAGTGCCCTCATATCGTAGCATGGCCATAGCCATCAACTCTCGCAATCTGGTTTCGATTGATGGTAACCCTATTCAGGGGGGTGAGCGAGCGGCAGTCGAGCATTACCGAGGCAAGATCGCTCAGTGTATCCGCGAGGGTTTTATAGTGGAGGGTGAAAACGTTGAAGAGGCTGCGGGAGCTTTCCTCCTCAGGTCTCAACATCAGAACCAGAGGCCTGAATATCTGCAGCTATGCGCTATCAGCCTTTCCTCTACTAAGGACGGCGGCACTATCTTGATGGAAGGGTTCCCGGTAGCGCTATCCCTATGTATGCAGGACATTCGCCCGTACGAGGATCGGATTTCGAAGGTGTTCCACTCGCCCTACTTCTACCCTGTCATCTTTCAGGTATCCGGGGAAGCAACTGAAGTTTTTGTTGTGGGCTCCATGAACAATTGGACTGACCCCATCAAACTTGAGCGCTGCGAAAAAGATGGTGAGATTTGCTTCCAAACGACTCTATACTTGCCTGCGGGTGATTACGAGTATCGGTATATAGTGGATGGCGTTGAGAAAGTTTCCGATACGAATCGTATTACTTCCAAGTACAATCAGGGATTTTGCAATCTGTACCAGGTTACTCAACAAGAACCGAATAAAGAACCACAAGACACTATTTTGCATGTTCGATGGATGCGCAGCCACGGTAGCGGCGTTTTCGAGATCATTGAAAATGAAAATTCGCTTCTGTACACGCCGACGTTGGATGATATCAACGCCTACCTGCGTGTGGAAGTGCTTGGTTATGTGGATGGTGAATTCTCTTTCTTGTACTTCGACCTGTCTTCTCCAATTGTGAATTCTCCGCCATACTGCGCTAATTTACAGATCAAAGGGAGCCCTGTAGAGGGGTCTGTGCTTACGGTGGCGGCTGAGTACAGTGGTGGTATCGAGGGACACTCTTCTATCACTTGGTTTCGCATACCTATCGACGGCAATGAAGTTCCTATCGATTTACAGGATCCATCGGAGGGCTATAAACTCACTCGTGAAGATATTGGCTGTTGCATTCGTGTGGAGTTTACCCCTGTACGTAACGATTGGGTAGCTGGTGAGCCTAAGTCTGTCATTGTTGGGCCAATTACCCCTGGCGTACCTGAATGTGAGTCTATCAAGATTATTGGCAACTTATATGAGGGAAGTCAGCTGGAGGTAGAGGTCGTGTACACTGGAGGTGAGCAAGGTGACAGTGTCTACCAATGGCTACGAAAAGTTGATGCTGACAGTGAGGCGTACATACCCATCGAAGGAGAAAATGGAACTAAATACACACTTACCGCTGAGGATGTTGATAAGTGCTTGGCAGTGGAATACACGCCTGTGAACAGTGAGGGCAAGAGTGGCGAAACATGTCGCTGCGTTCTTGAAGACCCTATAAAAGCTGCCCCGCCCAGGATTACAAATTTACTGATTTCTGGGGAGCCATGCGAGGGCCACACGCTTGCACTCGAGTATGAATATTCGGGTGGAACATTCGGCGAGCATATTATACAATGGTATCGCCACCATCCTGATACTGACGATCGTATATTGGTTGGTTCCCCTAACAGTGTTTATTTGAAGCTGTCAAGAGATGAGGTCGGATGCTTCATAGGAGTGACCATGATACCGGTTCGCTTTGACGGTGAGCGCGGGCAGCAAGTCAGGACTCAGATGGACGTGGTCGTTGCCGCCGCGAAGCCTGAAGTAAAGTGCATAAATATGGTTGGTAATCCAGTTCCAGGTAATGAAATTTCTGTCCAGATTGAGTGCACTGGATGTGAGGTTGATGAATCAGCCATCGAATGGGAAATAGAGGACCCTGACACACACAACTTCAGACTTGCTGCTCGTGGCATCAGCCGATACATTGTATCTGAGCATGATGTCAATAAAACACTTAGGGTGATATACACACCTGTGACAGAAGATGGTGTTGAGGGCGATACCAAGTGGCTTTCGATTCAAATTCAAGGTGGGGAAATGGTTCCAGTCGAGGCTCAGATTCATCATGCTGATCCGTCTTCCATTGAGAACATGACGTCAGAGTACAAAATGGGTACCCCCGTTGTGGAGGACATGTTTGCCAAGAAGGCTCTATTAAATAATACAGCAGCAACAGAGGAGAGCGGATCGGGCCCAGAAGGTGCAGCAAACCGCACCCACAGTATTTCTGAGGATTTGAATTCTGTTCACGAAGACCTAAAGGTGAATGCTGTCTCTCAGGGGTCCGCTTCACATAAGCAAAATGATACAAAGACGATCTCAAATGACTCTGCTACACCCCGGGCTCCGCGGGAAGAATCAAGTACGCCACATTGATGCTTGATAAACTAGCTAGGCAATCAAACTGGTCCTAATACAAGGTCCAGAATCCAAATAGATAAGTTTGAGCTTATGATGGCATTGATAATTAAGCGAGAATCACAGGTTCACACAGAATATGACAAGCAATCAAGGGGGTGATTCACATGTTGATTACAACTATACACCACGTAAGAATAAAAATAGTGAATATACAGAGAAAGTGTTTTTTTCTTTAATCTTTTGTAGGTGAAAAGAACAATAGTAGTAAACTGAGGGAACGACCCCTCATTGGTTACAGGGTCTTTGGAACCATTTTTTCATTATTATTACTAGAATTTTTTTAAATTTATATCATCTTTTTATCCATTGAACTTGTTTAAACTTCTCTTTTTTGTGTGTCAGTCGGAAGGGGTGAAAAATATTAGATGAAATAGCGCAAAGGACAATTCATTGAGCTGCATATACAAAGTTGGAAAATGTGTGAAGAAAAAAATACTTTTTAAGGACTAAAAAATGTTATCGGTATGTCTGAATGCCTTTTTTTTCGAGACTGGGGGGTTTACAGAATATTACTGTGGTGAAACCATGATGATTTAGAAACAATTAAACGTTCATTTATGTGAATTTCAATCTCCTCCATCGTTTTATTTTTTAGATCTCACAAATGTCATTCCGTTTGCCACTAAAGTACAAAATTCGATACAGCGGAGTAATTTCGAAGTTTTAGTGGTGTGATCTTGGTATTTTAGGTCCATTTTGTACGAAGCAATCGGCTTCATATTTGCGGCAAACGTGAGAGTACACAAAGAGTACACAAAGCTCGTGGGGTAAGCAAATTCAGGAAAAATCGAAGGCCAATGTAGATATGTTATCATTGTCTAGGGTATTTGTCTCGGATTTGAGACGTTCCGTAAATCATAAAACACTACTGGGCATTCCTTATAATGCAGTGCTAGTATTGTTGACATCGTATCGATATCTTTCTACACCAACAAAGCGCGACTTGGCCATTCAGCGTCTCAGCGAGGAAGTTTTTTCTAGGGGAAACATGCACTTGAAAAACGTCTATGCTCTTTCTGCACTTCCCGAGGGCTTGCATTCATTTCCTGAAGTTTGCTTTATTGGTAAACCAAATGTCGGCAAGTCGACTCTAATATCTTGCTTACTTCATAATCCCAAGCTTGGAAGGGGTAGCAGCATCGCAGGCTCAACTCGGTCATTACAGTTCTTTAACGTCGGAGACGCTTTGCTTCTAGTGGACACACCTGGATACGGGGGATGGGGTAGACGTCATCTTCCTCAAAAACAGTCTGAGCGTGCTGAAGCATTTTCTATTTTATTTCGATATCTTGCACTTCGCAAAAGACGAAATCTTAAAAGGGTATACTGGCTTATTGAGGCGTCAGCTACAACACCAGTGTCGATACAAGCTAGGGATGAGGAAATTCTCACTTTCCTTCGCCGTGAAGGAGTTCCATTTTCCGTTATTTTGACCAAAATAGACCGTCATAGGCGGTACTACTTGGAGGAATACCGCAAGTCCCGTGTTTTAGAAAGGAATGGGCTGAATTTCCAAGAACACACACGAAACATTTGTTCACGAATTCCTACTCCTTTAGATGGATTGCGCCGTAATGTTCAGGAAGTATACGCATTCTTAGCCACAGACAGCGTTCCTATATTTGGGGTCTCTGCTAACCGTCAGTGCCCGATGCGTTGTGAGAACCTAAGTCTATTGCAACATGATATTGTTCATTACTGCACGCAGGAACTTAGTAATGAATCACAACTGACATATGCTGATCTTCATGAATTGAGTTACTTTCCCCCATCAGCAGAGGAGATTCTGAAGATCCAAATAAAATATCCAATTGAAGCGTTTATTGTTCCACAAGATAACCGTATAAGCTTGAATAAAATGGTTGATATGCATGAAGACGCGAAAGCGCGTTATGTGACTTCCCATTCGCACTCTGACTTTCTCACAACCCTTGATGCGGAGGAAGGATGTCTTTTAGATTCTCGGCAAGATTCTATGCTGAAAGTGGAAAAGAACCATGAACAGCACGGACCTATTCCTGAAATACACCCTCCATCAGCCTGTATGTCAATGGGCGGAAACCCGCTACAATTTCGTGTCAATGAATCAACTGCTGGGGTGCAACCTTGCTCTTTAGTGACCAGTTTTTCTTTGCTTACTGAAGACGACAATGAGAACCAAACTTTTCCCCTTGACAATGATAGAAATACAAGAGGCACAAGCTTAGAGGTTGTATCTGGAGCTAAGCGCGAAAAAGTAAATTCTACGGTTCAGAATCCTTCTACATTGATGCACCCTGCAGAATGTTCTTCCTCAAGTAGCATACCAACTACTTTATTATCATCATTAGAACCATCAACGCAAACGGTTATGGCCATAAATGGTGTGCACATTCCTCGAAGTATGATTTCAACCTCGGTTGAGGAGCTGGTAAGAAAAAAAGATGATGAGTTTTTGTGGTTTGAAGGTAAGTCAGGGGCACGCGCTTATGATAAAATAATAGCGCAAGATCACCTTGTGGATCGTGCTAGCGCACCTCTCTTTGTACAGCATGATTCAGCAGCGCAATTATCCGATGCAGAGCTCGACTCTATTCAGCGAGTGCATGTTCGTTCTGCAGCTCGACGTCGAAAGGAACGGCTGCTGGAAAAATATATTGATAAAAAAAGGAAGGACCGCTCTATCTATATGCAGGCTGAGAGCTACATGTGCCCATGGTTGGCAGGTGTTGGCCAAGATAACCGACAAGCTGTCGTAGGATTGAGCAGTATTACGGGTGAATTTCTAGGGAAAGGTTGTGTCCTGAAGGGCCTCAAACGAACTGGATTTGGGGGTAAAAGCTATTCAGCTAAAACACTTCGAAACCGCGGCCGATCGACTAAGAAGACTGGTTTTTGGGCAGCGTAACAGTAGTGCTTCTATGTCATAGATTTTAATAAGATAGGTTTCTTCTGTTTCTATGGGTAATTCTCAAATTTTTAGCATTATATTGGTGATTTAATTTTTTGAATTCATTTTTCTCATACTAGTTAATTGTGAATAGTTTTGATGCGGATGCTGTGGTAGTGTACTAGTGCATTTGCCAAGCTCCTTTTTTTCTTTTGTATTGGTTACACTACAAGACAAGCAATTAGGTCGAACAGTTTCTCATTCTTTTTTCAATTGTATAGTTAAATCATAAAAATTGAATCGCCTATGGGGGCCGATATTTTTGAGCTGAAAGGCAACACTGCCTTGTATAATGTTCTAGACATTCAACAGAATGCTACCGAAAAAGAGATCCGGCGTTCATACTACAGACTTGCTATGGTTTACCATCCCGACAAAAACCCCGACGGTGAGACTATTTTCAAGGAAATATGCTTTGCGTACAATATTCTCTCCGATCCGGAAAAGCGTATTATGTACGATAATCAAACGCTTAGGAATAATTTGCTTGATCGTGCAAAAAAAGAATATAATCCTGAAATGGACCCTAATGTTGAATTGAGTCCGGAGGATTTACGGAAATTTGTTGAAAGGCTTCGAATGGAGCAGGTGCTGAAGGAAAAAAATCTAAACGAGTTTGAGAACCGCCGTGCAACGGAGATGCTGCGCCGTTCTAAATACGTTCCCAAGCATTCGGGCTATGAGTCATATTACGAGGCATCTTTGAAATTTGGCGAATTATCAGACACCGGCCGCGATAGGGGCGATGCCAAGGGAAATCAAGAGATAGTTTCGAATATAGCACGACCATTCCGTACAACAGCAGAGTTATTGTCGGGGATGCAGCAGGAAGAAGAGCAGCGTTTCCATAGTTTTAGTGCGAGGGCTCCTTCAAGCCCAAGCCCAACACCACAGACAGCTATATGTGCAGCAAAGAAACAAATGATCAACGAATATCGCATTTCACATGACTGTGCAGAATACCCTTCTGCTCGTATTGTTACCTCTGTTAAGAAGGCGACATCAACAAGTCCAGGCTTTGTAAATGAGCAGGAATCACAACTCTACTACAGCGAAACTATTGATCAAACGCTAAAGACCTTCTCTGACTTTGACTATCGAGGCTTTGTAGAAAGAGGAATGCAGAATCGATCGGCAATCGAAGGAGCTATTCTGGCTGATGCCTTACAACAGTATGACAGATACCATTAGTTGATGTGGAAGCTGTTATCTATAAGAGTCGGTATACAGTCAAGAAAAATTAATGTAAATTATTATTCGTTATATATATATATATATATTTGTTTGATTGTGACTGCAAAATTTTTCTGTCTGCAGATTTATTAAAAGGAACCTTAAAGATCGTTAACTCGAGAGAGGAATGACAAGCTAAACTTGTACAGGTTGTTTATGGTTACAATTTAAAGCCAGAGAAGCTATATATTAAACTATTTCGATGAAGATATACCATTTTTTTCTATTCTTTCTGAATTATGAAAAGATAGGAACCAATTGTAAATATATTAAGCTATTAATAATCACAGGGAGAAATACATAATAGTAACAACTCTTTAAAAAAATTTGCTATGTCATCACTTGATCAGCATCTGGATACACTTAATAAATGTCAGACAATCAAGGAAAGCGACGTTAAAGCCCTTTGTACTCGTGCAAAGCAGATATTGGATTCAGAAGGAAACGTCCATAAAATTCCTGCGCCATGTACCATTGTGGGCGACATACATGGACAGTTTTACGACCTTTTAGAACTCTTTCGTGTAGGAGGCGATGTCCCTGACACAAACTACGTTTTCATGGGCGACTTCGTTGATCGTGGGTATCACAGTGTGGAGTCTTTTCTTCTTTTGTTGGTATTGAAGATCAAGTATCCTAACCGCGTAGCACTTGTGCGTGGAAATCATGAATCTCGCCAAATTACTCAGGTGTATGGCTTCTATGATGAGTGCCTTCGGAAGTACGGTAGTGTGAACGTATGGCGGTATTGCACAGATGTGTTTGACCTCCTTCCACTGGTTAGTGTTGTAGAAGAAAAGATATTTTGTGTTCACGCAGGGCTATCTCCTTCACTTACTACTCTAGATCAAATGCGGGCTATCGAACGCCGCTGTGAAGTTCCTCACGAGGGGGCTATGTGCGATTTACTTTGGTCAGATCCAGAGGAGATTGATGGTTGGGGGTTGTCTCCACGAGGTGCTGGGTACCTCTTTGGTAGTGATATTGTTTCGCAATTCAACGCAATTAATAATTTAGAACTTATTTGCCGCTCTCATCAGCTGGTTATGGAGGGCTACAAGGCTATGTTTAACGACACATTGGTGACAGTATGGTCAGCTCCTAACTATTGCTACAGATGTGGCAATGTTGCTTCTATACTGGAACTAGATGAGCATCTTAATAAAAATTTTAAAATATTCGAAGCTGCTCCTGAGGAGGCACGTGAAAATTCGTCGAAGAATGCAATCCCAGAGTATTTTCTGTAGTATTAGAAATACGTATGATTATCTCAATCAATTCCATGCAGGTGTATCACATTGCGTATGAAAAGTGTTTTTTCTTACAAAAGAAAAGTCAAACATAGGGGTGTTTTTTAAACTTTCCTTTCCCCCTGGATTGACTACTGGGGGTGTTATCATGATCGAATCCAAGGGCCCAATTACAAAAAAGCACATGTTTCCTCTTTTTTTTGCTCTCCCTTTGAAAATAGTTTTCGTTTTCTTTTTGCTGCATTTGTGTATTCATTTTTTTATGTATAGTGGACAAATAAGAGCGGGAGGCAGTGGAAAGAAGGATTACTAAAAAGTGATTCAATCTTCAGAGAACAAATTCACTTATCGTGGCTGAGGTAATAACTAAAAGGAGATAAAATGCATATGACCATAATATATCAACAAGTTGCACAAGGAAATTTATTATGGCTATACTTTATCACTCTACTTATTGTATAGCTCCGATAAATTGTAGTATACACACATATATACTATATGAGATTCACATGGTATATGCTTAGGGAGTTAGAAAAAGAGTATTTTCTATGCTTTTCCTAGTTATTTTTTCTATCTCACGGATGCTGAGGCAAACTCGATCGACTTTCAATTAGGCACTAAATGTTGTATCTATATTTTGGCACTTTCTTAATCACTGCTTTCATTAGAGTTTTTTCCTCCTTTTTGTGCATGTTTTAAAAAGGTGTTAAGTAATGTTTAATCTTATAAATTCCTTATTGCGGTCATTTCATGATTTTTTTAAATGTCTCAGCGACTGATTCAAAATATTAGTTCTGATAAGGTTGATTTGATGGTTTATGATGGCTATGTGTCCTTCCTTTGATTCTCAAATAATTAAATATGTGCTTTATTCAGATAGAGACAAAAATCAATATTGCTAATGAGCGTTTAAAAAAAAAACGTTCACGATATTCTAGTCTTTCAATCATAAGTTCCTCCACGCTTGTAGCCATTTGATGAATGATTAGTGTCGTGCCTTTGGGTGGGACTAATCTATCGTTTTCGTCTTTAGTGAACAGAAGAAGAGATTATTCCCGTGAGGTTATCTCAACTAAAGCGAGTAATTCTGTCCGTAGTCCTGAAGTGCTGTCCATACAGGAGTCTAATATATATAAGGATGTGGCACAGGGAAAAGCGCCGTCACCACTAGTTGGGATATATGATCTTTCAGTTTACGCTGACAAGAGTAGTGGAACAGCTGTACAACAAGTCGCGGTCCACGAACCTTTTGCTTTTCTTCATGAAGTGCATCATTTTTCAACAGGAGTAATTCAAGGGCGAATAGTTCACCCCACAACCGAACACACTTCCTCACCTGATTCCCATGATATTGCACAGATCGCAGAAGTTCAGCTTAGATCTCATATGGTGCGTGGCTCTCAGAAAAAAGACACACTAATGCCACGTTTCTTACTTAGTAATGTTATTCAAAACGAACCCTCCGCTGCTGTTTCCGTGGATTTATCAGATTGCAGAATATCCACATCCTATATGCAGTCGCCAGCAGATATGTTTCGTTCACGTTCACTCCAAAATGTTATACTATCCCCCACCCAAAGTAAACCGATATATCAGCGTAAGTTGGTTTTTCTAGGCTTACAAGAGGTTGGTAAAACTTCTTTGTGTAAGTGTTTTGAGTCTGAACCTTTCTTTTTTATGAGTCTGCCTGATGTACGCACGACCACTGGTATTAGGGTGAGAGAAAGGTATATGAAAGTAGACGGGGATAGCGTGAAATGCATTCTTTCTGATTTTTCAGGCCAGGAAACATACCACTCGCACGGTTATTTCCTCACAGAGCGCTCTGTTTTTGCTTTAGTGTGGAAAGTATATGTGGATGGCCAAACTTCTCAAAGTGGTGGCATTAACGAAGTGGAGGAGAATCGCTTGTATATGTGGGTTTCTGAAATTTATGCCAAGTTTCCATGCGCTCGGATAGTGTTAATTGCTACACATTTGGATGAGCTACGTGTGCAAAGTCAGTATGCTGTCAAGATGATTCTCAATAAAATGAAGACTAAGATTTTCGACTTCATTAGCAGGGCTACGGTTACACGCTCTGTCATGCTACACAAGCATGAAAGAGGTATCCACAAATATGGTGCTGCTGTTGCACCATCCAGTATCATTGCTGGCAGTTTTGCCGTATCATGCAAGACGCGAAGAATTATTGCTGCTGATGATCACTTACAAAATATTTCTGGGAAGAGGATTAGTACACTGTTTAACTATATGGGCACAGTTTTAAAGATGGATAGCATCAATGACAGGGAGTATCCTCTGGGCATTGTGCCTGGGCGCCACATGTTGGTGATAGAAGGCATCGAAAAGATCAAACGAACAGAACCAGACAAACTCCTAATGCCAATTACGGAGCTAGTTGACATGGCTGTACGAATGGGTGTTGCTTCGGATGGAGAGCTGATGCAAGTAGCGCGACTCATGCACAGCTGGGATGTTATATATCTCCTCAAACATAACAAGATTGAGGATAACTTATATGTCGTACTCCACACGCCTTGGCTTAGGCGTATTGCAGCTTCGCTTTTTTCCTATACACATGTTCTGCACACACCACTTCATTTGCGATGCTATGTTGAAGGTCTAGAGTACACGGTTAGCCATGCGGAGACCTCAGATTTATCATTAATGCGTACAGGCTTCTTACGTCTGCCGTTGGCGCGGATTCTTTTTCATAAACCCCTATCCGACTTCTTGAAGCGTGCCCCTAGCGATTTAGACATATCCATGTGTTTGCAACTGCTGAAGGCGATGGACTTGCTTTACGTTGTGTGTATGGACTGCGATGAAGAAAACATCATAATGGAAGAAACTCTAGTGAATCCGGATGCTGATATTCCCGTTGTTCGTGAGGGAAGAATTATTCGCTATTTTGTTCCATCTCTTGCTCCATACCGCGTTCCCCCTTTGTTGCAGCGGTTGGCACCGCTACTGTTTCAGCGCGGTATGCGGATGCGTATGAGTTTCAATCTACTCCCAGATGAACTCTGGTCGCGCATGCAGTGCAGACTGCATATACATCTTCAGGAGGTCTCAGTTTTTGTGCCACACAATGGTTTCATAGATTACGTGCGAGAGCAGGAGATAACGCTTCTGTCTGGTCTTAGGCTAAAGGAGGCCAGTAAAGAGCACAACCGTTGGCGCGATGCGATGTGGCTCGGGAACTCCACTTGCCGGGTTTTTATGTATCGTGATGGTCTTACAGATATATCGATGTACTCTACTGAGAGTTCTCCAGATAGTTCTAAAATGATTCTTCAAACCATTGAGGATATTGTATCTGAACTTATGAAGGAGTATCCAGGTGTACAGCGCAATACTTATGTTGTGTGCTCAAACCCAAGTTGTGGAGGTTGGCTGGGGGCAAGTCTTCTTGCTTATAATGGCAAAACTACGTGTTCCATCTGTGCAAAGAAGTTTGGCAATAAACAGGTCGTGTCTGCCGGTGCCGAGCAATTGCGCTCGAAAAGCTTCTCTAAGGTGATTCTAGATGAGCTCCATAGGCTTTTACCCCTGTGTATCGTACCTCGGTCGTGTGAATATGTGTACAACTATTTGGGATTACCTAGCAATGAATTAGTTCATGATAATAAGGATGATAATACGCACAGCAAGTCTGATTCAGGTAGAACTTTTCTAGGGAACAATGAGAAGCCTAGCTCTAATCTTCATGTGGATTACACCCACATGCTGGATAAAGTAGTGCAAGTAGCTCTCTATAATGCGTGGGTCGATCGAGTTAATGAACAAAACACACTCTAGAGGCGGATTCGGACCTTATTTTATACCAGCGGTGTCGTGCCGTTTAGATGTTACTCCTTTTGAATCTTATATAGTATCATGAATATTAAATACAGGTCCAACTGTTTTCATGTACACACATATAAGCAATTATTTCTAGATTCTTATATATTCTACTTATGTGTTGAGCAGCTATTTTTTGCGCATGGAGGAGGGTTGAAAAATGTGAGGAAGGATACCATAAGCCATCTTTCTCTATGGAATCATCATTTTACTACCTATGAAAGCTATTAGAGTTACCAAGATTGTTCCTTTTTCGTGTAGTCGTTCGCATGACATGTAGCTTTTAATACTACAGTTAGATATATTTATTCTCTTCCTTTTCTTCTTGCAATTATGGAGCTTTTTCGTTTGTATATTTTCTTGTTTACGCCATTTTACTCTGATCAACAATGCTCAGTGCTCCTTTTATTGCTCTCTTTTTCTGGTTTTCATCCTTAGGTCATCCGAGACAGGAACCGCACGTTTCTTCGCTGTTTCTGTGAATTAAGCATCTTTCTCAACGTTCATTTTTTCCCTTGTTGGTATAAATTTATGTTTTTATGTACTGCGAAATAGTACATTATAGTGAGGTGAACTCCTACCCTAGGTAACCTTTTTCATTGTGAAGCATTGTTTTCTGTAGGGTTTACTGGTTTACCACGAATGGGGGATACGTTCTGCGTTAGATCCCGTGCGCGTAGTTGCGCCGATAGTGACGAATTAGAAGTTGCTCTGCAGCGTCTATGTGCTAAATTGAAGGCATCACAGCCTGTTTTCACAGAGGAGGATGTAGCACTGATTCCCTTTCTGAGTGACAACAGTAGTTTTCCCACACGACCATTATCTAATTCCGATGGGGTCGCAAGCATGTGTGAGGTTGAGGATCTCACATTTGGGCAGATTGATCTTGGTAAAAATGGAGAGATGTATGGCTTGCAATTTGACGTAATTAAAGAGCCAGCAGAGAAGTGCTTATCATCGTCATCTCATCTCGGTAGCACAAACAGCTGCAGCATTGATACAGCATCGAGTGATACGATTAATTTAGATAATCCACTTTCTGTGGGGCTTTTTCTCACTGCTGTAAATGTGTTTGAGCCGAAATTAATCACGAAGAACAAAAAAGTTGCCCTTGATGCTGTCAAGCTTGTTAAGCAAGGGTATGCGTTGACTTATCGAGACCCTCATTTTGTATTTCCATCTGAGAGCAAAATCAAGACACGTTCTACTGTTTCTGACTCTATTGCAGTCATGCTAGTTAAAGAGAGAATGAATCCGAAGCGGAGGCCGATTGCACGCCCTTCCTGTGTTGTAAATACCCTGAGTTCTCCTCAACCTTCTTATAAACCGGACCCCGCGCTAATCTTATATCTCGACCAGTCCATTCGGGCATTACTAGTGTATTGCAATGATTCAACCCCTCTCGCTCAGTTTATTTCATCGAACCAGAGCATTTTACGTCTTTTTGGCTTTGTGTGTTCAATGGCAAGACGTGCCGAGGAAGGGGCAGTCGATGGTGCTGAGCGTTCACTGGGCACACGTGATGTGAACGTTGAGCTAGAAGAGTTGAGATCCCTTTGGAACTCATGCGGTCTAGTTGGGCGGGTGGTAAACTACTTACAAGAATGTTATCTAATTGAGTTTCTATTAGATGATGCATTGCCTCCTGCTGTGTGCTCATCACGCTACGAAGGACTGATCAATGCTCTTAATGACAAGAAACACAAAATAACCGTGGATATGTTGATGAGTCGTCATGAGTTTTCGAATATGATACGCATGACCCCACTCAAAGGTCTTGTTGGTATTGTCAAGATGTCTGCGTTCACCGCGGTAAAACAACAAGCGCGTCTTTTAGATAGAATCACTGCCGAAGGTCTTATGGAGCGCTTACTGGAAGAGCTCAAAGATGTGTGTCAAGATCTGTTTTCCCCTCTGGGATCAGTTTGTGATATCGATTGCTCGTCTTTGTGTTCACCGACCGCTTCGAGTAGAACCCCTAGTAATACACCTGTACACAGTCAAATCGAGAGGAATGGTAGCTCTTCAAGGCGAAAAATATCGACATCTCTGAGTGTTAGTGGTTCTCAGACGCAAAATGGATTAGGTCTTTCAGGTAGAGCGTTGGAGTGCTTAGGATATTGTGCGGACATTATCCTGCTAGTTACAAGTCCTAACCTGCAACCAGCCCTAGAGGTTGACGAGATGGCAAAAAGTTCAAGGACGGCACCAGCAGCGGTGGTTCGCTCAACCTTGTGGGCCTCTCAGGAGTCCACTTTACGAGAAATGTTAGCTCTTTTGCTGCGTATTGCGTGTTGCACTTTTCAAAAGAACCAACAGCACTCTTTTGTACACCTCAAGCTGCATATCACGGATTGTGTGCTTCAAATCGCAGCTTACAGTGGTTGTTTGTATAGCATGGTTGTCGATGTGATTAATGCACTCTTTGAGGATTTTCAGTACCGTGAAAAACTGTGTGGCTCACGCTGCTCGCCATCGCATCCAACACTCACTGTGGGCTCGACTAGGTCCTCGGAACCTACCACTATCCATGCATTTAATGACCTCAAATATCTGGAAATTTTCATTCCCTTGCTACCTTTCCTTGTGGGCTTGCTAGCTCAGACAAACCATGCACAAGTTCATGCGGTTTCAATACGGCGTTGGTTTTGGTATCTATCAGAAAATCTTATCCCGGATGCATTTGAGGCTCCATCCTTAATAAACGGGCGAAAGAGCACAGCGACATGGGGAAGATTGCTTATGAAGCGGCTTAAACCCGCTACAAAGGGTCTTATGGAAGAAAACATGTGCCCATGGAGGGTGTCTATGTTGGCCCGTGATCTTAAACGTCGTGAAGTGATTAGTCTTTTGCCTTATTTCACCTTTGCGTGCCGCGTTATTCGGGAAACGGTGTGGAGAGACGGTAGCAAAGCATTTTTCGAAAAAATCGCTTCACTATCTTATCATGTTGTGATGACTAATGCTTGGCAGCGCAGCTTATGCTTTGGTCAGGCTTTCTGTTGCTACGATCTAGTGTCTATTATATTGTCTCAGCCCGATATGAGATTACTCAAGGACACGGACATGGAAGGAGGTGGTGAGATGATCAACAACACGTCTGTTAAAGAGTCCCCACAAGTATCAAAAAACACTTCAAATGAATCATGTGATATTAAAAAGCGCAGCCGCTCGGTCGTAGCTGCAGAAGACAAGTCCCTGCAGTTTTTCATATTGAGCCCTAAGCATGGTTCAGTATTTCACGAAGCGTGGTCACCCACCTTGACGGACTCGGAATTTCAGGATTGCATAGAAAGTAATGATCTTATAACTGATCTTGATCACAGTCGCTCTGTTTCACTTTGTAGAGACAATGATGGTGCACATGAGGTTGTAGAGGAACCAGGCGACATATCGCCCAAAGGGGTGCTGACACAACCATGGCATCTGTCGCGTAGGGTACTGTTGCTACCGAATAGTAGCTTAAATAGTAGCACAGCAGACTCTTAGAAGCTCAATTGGAAAGAGCCACTTCGAATCGAAATTGAGTGTGACTCGAATCCTTGCACATATCTTTTGTGACATTCTACCTCTGATGCCTAGTTAATCCCATTTGTATGTTTTTACTTATTTCATGTATGAGGAGGAAAAAGGAGTCTTGAGTTTCTCGTTTCACCTGGCCCAGATGCATATGATAAGTAATTTACAAAGCAGACGAGTATAACTAAATAGAAGATGCAGTATGTCATTGGTTAATGATTGTCGATTTTGGTTCGCTGCCCTAAATGAGTTTGGTCATTTTTCTCTTTTCTCGTTTCCACCCTTTGGTTTTACTTGAGGTCAGGGACGCGCCAACGTGCACGTACAGTTCTATATCATTCCCTAGCCCACACAAAGTGTCTGCACACGTTGAATGATTTTATATATGTCGGCTCAAGCTTGCGCATCGTAACTAAGGACGTATACATTAAGTCACTGGAGATACGGAAAATCTCTTTGCACTTATAGCAGTCTTGTTAAATTAATACACGTGTACTTGTGTTAAACCTTCCGTGCGCTTTGCTTCGTTTTTTTGGTACATACACCATGGCTGTTTCTTTCAACCAAAAAATGATAATTCGTGTTAGTTGAATTTTCTTTTTAGTTTATGCTCAGCTTGAAAATGGTCCAGCGGGTCTACACCTTAGAGACTCAACAAATACCATCAACTAAATTACGTTGTTCTCGAACGACGAGAAGTGGATGATATATGTTTTTTTTTGTTTTCTTCTTTTAATCATGTAACAAGGTGTAGGAAGGAAGCACTTTTCATAGTTCAAATTTAAATGATTTTAAGGAAAGGAGAAAGTTTTTGTGTTAATGGGAAGGTTCTATTACAAAGTCTTACATATGGGAAGTTTATCTTTCATTCTAGAAAATTTTTTGGTTATTTTTCTTTTTCACGAATCCTCTTAGGTTTGCATGGTCATATACGTTTGGGATCAGCTCATTGGGAAAAGGAAATGTAAATTAATAGGGTAGTGTACCATTTTTGACGTTATATGAATTGGCTCTTTTCGAATACATGCGCGCATACCAACGCATTACATAATTTGTCTATGTTTTCATATTCACTGTTTATTTTAGCCTAGTCAGAAACTGTTTCGCAAATGAATAGGTGACTAAATGACGGAAACTAATTATCATTACTATTACTATTACTCTTATTATTATTATTCTAGAGTGTTTGAACTTATAGAGTCAACTTTCATAGAATTACAGTGCAAATTATTACAATATGCCACGAAAGGACTCTTCATTACGGAGTACTGCTGTTAGGAGCACAGGCGCGCATCGCCAACGGGCCGAACAGGTCCCACTTTCTAGTTTCTTCGACAATGATTCTGCACGCGGTAACAACATCCACACCAGGGATAATCAATCCACGAGCGATGTCTCACGCCTCACTTCGAGTTCTCACCATTCAGATAACCGCCTCTGGACTAATAGTCTGCCACCCACCATTCTATCAACTAAGTACAGCGTGGAGCATACCTCACTACTACAAGATGTACGTCAACGCATTTTAAAAGAGTCAGAAGAGGAGCGAGAGGCGCGAAGCCTCTCTCGAAGACAAAATAGACATTCAAAGCTGAATCTACACCGACAGCGAGCTCTGCAAATCGCCTTTGGTATGGACGCTAGTGTTGGGGCAGCACCCGGTGGCGTGCGACGATCGGCTGTGCGAACCGACAACGTAGACACAAGCAGCGGCTACACAAATGATCAAGATGAACTAATCGTTTCATCTGTGGAATTTTCGCTTGTCTGTCCTTACTCGAGGCTACCGATGCGGTGTCCCGTGAGGAGCTGTGACTGTCGTCACTTGCAATGCTGTGAGCTGGAGTCCTGGATAGTGCTCATGGGCAAATACCGGTCGTTGCGGGACCCAAAGGCACCGTGTCCTGTATGCGAGCAACGCGTTTCAGCTTCTTCACTTGAGGTGGATTTTTGGATGCAGAACGTAGTGGAGCAAATGCCACCCGATACACACTTAGTTGTACTCAACATCGACGGAAGCTACCGCAGTGGTGACGAGTCTCGTGAGAAGCGAAAAGAGAGTATGATTACGGATGTGATAGATGCGACACAGGGGGATCTTGATGGCCATCTTAGCGAAGTTATCGATGACGGCAGTGACGACGATTGGAACAAAGATAACTGTGGAAAAGTCGAATTCAAGTTTGATTCAGTATCGGGAATAGGAGTCAAACGTGATCGCACAGCATCACAATCCACTTGTACGAGTCCACTTGTTTATGTCACTGCTAACGCCGCCGTGCTCTCTCAAGGACCCCAGGCTACAACAACGGTAGCAAATAGTGTTGTGAAAACAGAGGTGACTATGGTCTCGTTAGGGATTGCATCTACAACTACCACAGGACAAGCAGCTGGTATTTCACAAGCTTCATCTTCAGATGACAACGGTGTGGTAGTTGTTCGTTATGTTCAAGGGCGTACCTTACCAAGTCAGGTACGCCTCTGGGTTTCTTATTGCATGCACTGTGGTAATGAACTTTCAAACTGCCAGAGTGTCCACACCGAGGTGTGCAGCCACTGCGGGTATTGTGTCAAGGAGCATCGAACTCTGGTTCGTCGCTTTCCTGAGAACCCTGCCGTGACAATGGAGTTGACACCGGATGACACCTTAATACTCTGTGGTGTCGACGCTATCGCCGCCTACCTATATCGAGCTGGCTTTCAACGCTACTTAGAGCCGCAAGAGCTGTTTGTGATTACAGAGGCGTCTTTTCCGGCAGCTTTCCCAACTCCACAACGTCCAACTCGTAGTGTGTGGACCAGTGGTGCCCCACTTACACGATTTGAGCTAGACTTCTTAGAGGCATGCTGTGAACGTGTGGCTAATGGTGAGGGGTTAGAAGAAGTCAGGGGTATGATGGTGCCGAAGCTTTTCCGAATCCCAAGACTACGACGGTCAGCTTTGGAATTTCTTACGCAACAAGCAAGGCTTGAACATAAAGTCATTTTTTCAATGCAAACCCAGCCTTCTTTGACACCATAATGCCCGTCGCTGTCATTACTGTCTTGAGTGGTAATTGTTATCGTTATGCCAATGCTGAGAACCAATGAAAAACTAAAACCAAATAGTGGGAATTATGTATTTCAATCGGTTTACTTACCTGCAACGATAATTAACCATGTAGTACTGGCGCAGAAAACTTTATCTTCTTGGATTCAACTTTTAAAAATACTTTTTTTCTAGTAAAGGCAGCTAAAGTTTCTCTCGCTACTATTTCTAGAGACATTCAAGCGGTTTCCACTTTTATCAGCTGGTGGAAATTAGACATATATACATATAAACTTAGTTCTACCATAAATTTCAATATATAATTCTACGGCGACTATACATCTTTTGGAAATTATTATACTTCCTAAATCCACTTAAATATAAAGACTTTGGAGATTTGTAAATCACTTCCGTGGCAACGATTACGATAGGATTAAAGTGTTTTTTTTCTTAAACTATTTTTCAATGTTTTTCTGCAGACGGAGTTCACAAGTCGCTTATGGATATACAAGAGTGCGCTATTTGTCTCCCGTTACTCGGAAATTCTCAAGGTTGAGTTACCTGTTCATCTGCTCTTCACGGAGTGCTCTAGTAGCCCCCAATGAGTGTTCTCCTTCCTTGCGGCGTTATCTTATACACGATAACTATAAAGCACACTGCAAGCCAATATCTGTTGCGCCATGCTGCTACGTTCAACGACGAGAGTTTTGTACAAGTCCTGTTATTCAGTCCTCAGTGGATAAAGCGAAGCAACAGAATTTTTCCTCCAGCTCCCAGAAGGATGCAGTTCTGAAACTCCATGTAGATGTGTCACAATGTCAACACAACAACAATACCTTCACTAGGGACGTAGGTGGTGCAGAAGGAAAAAGTACTTTCTTGGAGGAAAAGGGTTCCAACATTGTAGGAGAGATGTCAGCGAAGGGGCCTGATGCCATGGATAGGGGACACATAAGCACGTTTGAGAGTAAGTTAGTTGAAGAAGCTGGTGTTGATAAAAGTCAGAGCAGCCACTTGTGGCCGCGGGCCACTATTGATTCAGGCATCAGTTGCGATGCAGATGTAAAAGAGACACTGCCTACTCTTGTGGGCGGAGAGGGTGATAGAAAGAAACTCTCCACACAGAAGCAGAGAAACGAAAGCCCAAGTTGCGAAGTGGTCGAAGTTTCAAATAGTCCTGTAGATATTCCTGTGAAACGTGTGGTACTCAAGGTACTTTCCCTTCTATGGCCTAAAGGAAAGCCCCAAGTCAAACTTCTTGTCGTTATGAGCATGATGTGCGTGCTGGCAGCCAAGGTCTTGAAGGTCGCTGTACCTTTTTGGTTCAAGTCGGTTATTGATATTCTGACTCCAAGTGCATCTGCTGCCACCGCGCTGCCTGCTGTCGGCTTTTTTCCTGTAGGTGTATTTGGTTGCGTTGCTGCTTACGGCATTTGCCGAGCCATGAATTCTGTAACTGAGGAACTAAAGACTGTGCTTTTTTCGCCTGTAGGAGGCAATGCTTCGACACAACTAGCGATGGAAATGTTTGACAAGTTACTTAAACTCGATTTAGGATTTCACCTAAATCGTGAAACGGGCGTCCTAAGCAAGGATTTGGATCGCGGCAGTCGTGCCTTTTGGTCGCTGGCATATGCTCTTTTATTCTTGGTGGTGCCAACAGCCTTTGAGATGGTCCTGGTGTGCGTTGCCCTCAATTCACAGGCTGGAGTTCAGTTTATTGGGTTGGCTTTGGCAGCAGTTTTTTCTTATATACTCTGGACTTATACTGTGAGTAATTGGCGCACTAGATTCCGAAGACGATATAATGAACTTGAGAGCCGCGTCGGTGGCATTACAGTTGATGCGTTGCTGAATTATGAAACGATAAAGTGTTTTGGGACTGAAGAGTATGAATCAGCCCGTATTCGAGCCAACACTGAGAAGATGAACACAGAGTTGATAAAGCTGGATCAGTCTATGGCACTCCTCAATTTTGGTCAGCAGCTTATCTTCGTTGTAGCAGGTGTTTTGTCATTCTACTTAGCGACATGTGGGGCCATTGCCGGAACCATGACGGTTGGCGACTTGGTTCTTACTGATGCATTATTGATGCAGCTTTATATGCCTCTTAGCTTCTTAGGCATGATTTATCGAGAAATTCAAACTTCGACGCAAAATATGCAGGCAATGATAGGTCTCCTGGATCATGTGCCGAGTGTAGTTGACGCGGTTGACGCCACGCCCTATACGTACATTAATGGTACGATAGAGCTGCACAACGTTACTTTCAAATATAAAGCCGATTCTGAGGAAGCTCTAATTAGAAATATGTCCTTGACGATACCAGGTGGGAAAACGGTGGCTTTTGTGGGTCCCTCTGGCTCTGGAAAAAGTACCATCTTACGTTTGATTTTTCGATTTTTTGACCCAACCGAAGGAGAGGTTCTGTTTGATGGCCAACCTTTGCGCAAGCTGCAGCTAGCCAGTGTACGTGCAAGAGTGGGGATCGTCCCACAGGATACGGTATTGTTTAATACATCTATCAGGGATAACATATCATACAGCCAAATCAACGCCACGGACTCTGATATCGTAGACGTTGCCAAGAAGGTAGGCTTGCATGAAACCATTTTGAAAATGAGTAAGGGCTACAACGCATCTGTGGGGGAGCGAGGGCTGAAGCTGTCTGGCGGCGAGAAACAGCGTGTTGCTATTGCGAGAGCTCTTTTAGTGGATCCGCCAATTCTCTTAGCTGACGAGGCCACATCCGCACTGGACAGCAAGACTGAAACTAAGATAATGGAAATAATGAGGGTAGCATCAAAGCAAGGTAAGCCACGTACCATCATTCTTATTGCTCACCGTCTCACGACAGTTAAGGAAGCCGACATTATCTACGTTCTTGACGGCAAAGGTGGTCTGGCGGAGCAAGGAACCCATAGTGAACTACTGCGATCCGGAGGGCTTTATGCAGAACTGTGGTATCAGCAGCTACGGGATCGCCAATCCTTTCAGGAGCGCGGATTACATCATTGAAATAGGGGAATATGCAAAAGACTGAGGAATTGATGTGTTGATAAATACAATTTCTAGTAGGTGGTTGATAAACCCATCAATGGATATACGATTCTTATCACTGAGCTCATGAAAAGGAGGCTTCATTATTTAGAAACTCCTTATCTTTGCATTATAATCATCAAGAGGCAATGCAGATTCTTGTACGAACCAAATGAATGGATTCGATTTTTGGAACAAAGTGATAATCGTTATCATTTTCTACTATATATAGTTTTTCATAGTCAAAGACAGCAATGACTGGTTTGATGCCTTTAATGGTATTTTTTCTTTGCGACATGTGAATGATACCTTCCTTGAAAGGCATCCTCATCGCTTTGATGCAGCCCATTTCTACATGGATACTGGGGTAAAATTAGACTCAGGTTTTATTAGGAGCTGTGTTTGCGACACTAACACATACGTTTATGTGCAATACAATTATCATTTTTTACATATTTAGATCTTAGCAAACAACAAAAGTAAAATAAGATATATAATATATTATTCTATTGTTGCTTCTTTCGCCTTCAAATTATGCAACATGAGTAGCTTATATAGTGCCTCAAAAATTTCCCATGAGATGTACATTTTGGACACTTCCAATGTTCTTCCTTTGCTATTAGAGATGACCCCAGTTTCTGCGACACAACATGAGAATGTGGATGTGTATGAGGACAAAGTATCTACAATCATGCATTCACCATCGTTAGAGAGCACTAAATCAGCAAAGCAGCTCATTTGCAAAAGTACCCATCCACTGACCTACGGACTGCCTGTGCAGTCATTGGAACCTTTCCACAACTCAGTGTCTGAAATTCCCCAGAGGAATGCGTTAATGATGGAGGCTGAAAAGTATTCACAGGATTGCTATCGAACAAGTCCCCCTGGATTACTGAGCTATGACGAGGGCGATGTACTGAAGCAGTTTGGATTCGATGGGAGTTCGCCAAGTGTATCACAACTTAGCATAGAGAAGCGGCCGTGGATATCTGAAAGCAAACTTCAGAAAAAGACACGACAATCTCACCGCAAAAAGGATAGCGGGGTAAAGGGTAATAATTCATGTTGCAAGGCGATTAATTCTACGCTAAGAAATGAAGATGATATACCTTTGTACCTTCGCTTTTCCAAGACCATTTTATCTGCATCACAGGAAAATGGTTCCAACTTCGAAGAAAATTGTCAGAAGGTGCCTACTGTTTCCCGAAAACGACAACGGACGTCCAGTAGCCGAGCTTTAGAGACATCCTTCGCCTCAAACACAGGGCCTGTTGGCCCTTTCAAGAAGAAAAGATCACTAGAACGCCGGGAGGAATTGAATAAGGAGCAGTTAGTAGTGCCACAGCCGTGCATGTTACCGCACAACATGGCCTGTCTCTTTGTTGAGGTATGCAATGACGACTATACAGACGACGTGCGCGCGGCAGCTTTGCGGCGCTTGCTTGCATACTGGTCAGGGGCCATGGAAGGGGAGGCTCTGCCGGGCATATCGAAAGGCCCCAGAATTGAGTCTTCTACTTCCTTTTTACCACCACTTCATCGACGTCTCATTGTTCTGATAGCAGACAACATGAGTGCGTTGGAGAGAAGTCTCCTATGGTGGACACTTCGGCCATATGCGGAGCATGCATTGATTCTACCAATTTTCGGAATTTGCCCGATTGGGGATGATGAGGAATGCTCGGCTTGTGCGCCAACAAGCAAGGAATCATCCGATGTAAGAGGCTCTCAGGAGGGAAAGCGTGTCTTTCCTCAAACTATTCGTAAGAGTGAGCTCAGTACCAAAGCGTCGCAGGCTGTTAGGCATAACGATTCACAACGACGTCTTCCTGTGGGGTTTACATTGCTACAAGCGGTGGCCCTACACCACCTGTGTGATTCCTTCGCAGTTAACACATCCAACAGCTATGCCTTGTGCTACTCTAAGGTGTGTTGGGATGTCTTGAGAGGCCTTGGTATCCCTACACACCACATGAAGCGCTCACTTGAAGAGTGTGCTCAATGCATCATTAAGGCCTGCACCGGTTCAACCAAAGCTTCCAGGAGAAATGAAAAGAATACCGCTAATGTTGGGTTTGGCTTATGGCTAGGGGCTGGAACAGCTGCACAGCAACGCAGATGCGATGAAAATAACGTTGATGAGCAACGCGAGGTGATTTTCTCTTACCTTTGCTCCTGGAACGGCCTTGCGCAGACACTAGCAACCAACGCTCGTCGTCCAGAGCTTGTCTTACGTGTGGTTAAAATGCTGCACTCACCAATTTCGTCTTTCGTCCTATCAGTGCGTATCTGTTATGCTCTTGTGCGTCCAGTCTCTACTCAAGGGTTGTGTTTTGCATGTGCTATATCTCGAGATATGCGCTTGTTTGCCTCCCAATCACCTCTTGTGGTGCTACCTACACGTGCAGTGGAACTGTTCCGAAATCTTTTTTTCAAATACCTCTCTGCTTTTTTTACTCCGTCCATATTTCGCACCGCTGTCGATGTAGTTCGCAGTAGTTCACCTGACTACATAAAGGGATATTCATGTTCCACGCTGGGATATCTACAATTTGAGGTAACAAGTTGGTTGCGGCAGTACGTCTACGTGTCCCTTGTTGTCGACCTACGACCTATTGTTGCCCACCAAGCACTCAATAATAATAGTGGAATGTCTCTGTGGGGTTGCGTGTTGCGAGCCTTACAGTGTAGCTGCACGCCGCGCGAGCACGAGAAAATCTTATTTTCTGAGAATGGGGTAAAAAAGTGCCGTCACCATGCTGAGCTTTTGTACTACTTTGTCAATCGGCAAATCAACACTCAAATACGACAATAGGCACATGCGGCAACAATGAAAGCCTTAAGGGATGTGAAAAAGCAGTACTTTATCAGAGGTGTTTCGAATGACACAGTGGAGAGTAAAGGGGAAGCTGCTCCTTGAGAAGCTGGTAATAGTGCTTTCATTCGTGCGGCTTTTTTCTCTTTGTCTCAGCGTTAGTTATTTAACATGTGTCGTGTGAAATATCATTGAAAGTTGCATGGGCAAGAGTAAAAAGGTGAGTCTTCTTTGGGGATGGATCTCACTTGTTCATCTGCATTGTAATGTTTTTCTGCAAACAAAATGTTTCTTTTTTTTCTGTATTGTATTATTTTGTTTAATTAATTATTAATATTAACGCGTTGAAGTTGAAGCATAAGCTTCTAGATGCTACAGTAGGGACATTGATACATATAGACCCCATGAAGAGGATTGTTTTGTGTCTACATGGTAGCCGCCAAACTGCAGAGATCTTTCAAAACCAACTCAGTAAATTGATCGATACTTTAGCTGACGTGGCCTCGTTTGAATTTTTAGACGCTCCTTTTCTGCTTCCTCTTCTTCATCCCGACGATGATGTCCGCACACGATCGTGGTGCTGCCCTGGTCTTGAAGCATCACCTGAATCCATCGCTCTAGATGGAGATACCGCAACGGGTTCAAATGGCGATGAAAATCACCTAAATGCAAGTTATGTTGATAGCGATCGTTTATTGGATGAGCGCATGCAGCGACAGCCCTTTCCGGATATTCTCCTTGGCTTTTCTCAAGGAGGTCTAATGGTTTGCCGGTATCTTATGCGGCATTCTGAGGAAGACAGTACATTGAAGGCGGCTATTTTTATTGGCACACCGGACCCCAGAAAAGTCTTCGCCAGAACGGATTTACTGGATCAATACATAGAGCGGCAATCGGCTAAGGCAAACTGTGACTATAACACTGAGCAACCTTTTCTAGGTGACATCCGTTCTCTGCATATTATAGGTAGGAAAGATAAAATTGTCTTACCTAGTGAGAGTATCGCCTTTGCTGAAGCTTGTGGCCCAACAGCGGAAGTGTTGGTTCACGAGCATTCCCACAGTGTCCCACAGCTGCAAGTTTTGTTTTCGTCCATTCGGGTTTTAATTAACGGACTTAATGTAAATCTGGAAGCCGAGCAAGCATTCACTGAAGAACGGGGGAAAGAGATCGAGATGATTGCCATGATGTACGGCGATGAGTGTGTGTGCAATCGTTCTCGTTCTTTGGATGCTATTGTGACGCTGCCACTTCTGGATGAGGGGCAGCTTCCCGATGGGCCTGAGTCATGCGCTCTGGCAAAGTTGGGTCTCCAGTTTCGTGTTCCACCACGGTATCCGGTGGCATCACCAGTACTGAATATTGTCGGGGGTCCCACAACAAAAGATGCGATGTTTGAACGATGGTGCGCTGATATGGTAGCTCGCTGCACGGGGTACATGTTGGACGATGCCGCCTTGTATGGGCAAATACTCCTGCCAACTCGCATGTTTGCAAACGAGCAAGCATATGCGTCGATATCATTTTTGAAGGATGTGTTTGCGACGCATTTTCACAATACAGACCCAGGGGATGATGTCGATGCTACTCAATGTGCTAAAGAACACATGGTAAGCGAATGGACATCTGAGGATGATGCGAGTCGTTCACAATACATTTTAGAAACAGAGGAGGAGGCCAGGTCTCTTCTGGACCGTAGAGCATCAGCACCGAATAAATTTGCTCAAATTGATCAGACAAGTGTTCAGAGTTCGCGTGGAGGGGTGCTGGGGGGTGGAGGTTTAGCGTTTCAGAGAAGCGGCGGCACGTGGACCCCAGTAATTGGGCTTATTGGTAAACCTAGTGCGGGGAAGAGCACGTTCTTTAATGCCATAACTGATCCTCAAAGTGAAAGTGAGGCTGCGCGTGTTGCAGCCTTTCCTTTTACCACTATCGAGTCAAATATTGGGACCGGGTTTGGTTTAATTCGGTGTCCGTGCAGTGTGCTTCTGCAAGGTCCTAAATGTATCGAGCGTAGGGCGCAACTATCAACCAACCTTACTTTTGGCATTGAGAAATGTGATGCGCGTTACGGACATGCATGTGTTCGTGGTAGCAGCGATTACCGACGACATCCCATCTTAGTGAAGGATGTGGCTGGTCTCGTTCAAGGGGCTTATCAAGGGAAAGGCAAGGGAAATCAGTTCTTGAATGATCTATGCGATGCGTGTGTACTGGTGCACGTGGTGGATGGGGCGGGTGTGACAGATGCTGGTGGGTCTTCATGTACTCCAGGCCAGGGTTCTACCCTTGATGACATCACGTGGATTCGCAAAGAAGTGCACAATTGGATTTATGACAACCTTCGTGCTAAATGGGAGGTAATTCTACGAACGCCTAAAAAGCTTCGGGCTATGTTCACTGGCTATCATGCCTCGCCGTCCTTTGTGGACGACATTCTGCAGCGCATCGGTATCACCAATGATACGATGCTCCAAGTCCAACTCAAGACCTGGGGCCCCAGAGAGCTGCATTTACTTGTCGCTGTTTTCATTCGTTTGAGGTTTCCGATAGTAGTAGCTCTGAATAAAGTAGACCTGCCCACGGCCAAGGGTCTTGTTGAGGAGTTGCATCGAAGATATTCAGGTGAAAACTTTGTTTGCATGTCCGCCAAGATCGAATGGGATCTTTTGACGTTACGCAAAAAAGGCCTTGTTGAGTATGTCTCTGGAGCGTCTGACTTTGTGGATCGATCAGCAGGCGTGAGTGGCATGAGCAAGGAGGATGCAGAACGGCTGAAAAGCATACGCGCGTTTTTCCAAGCCCTAAAGTCTAAGGAATGCCATGAGGAGGAAAATATTTCCGAATCAGGTTCCAATACCACTGTCCCACTTTCAATGTCCTCAACAGGGGTGCAGGATGTTATTGCAGACGCCATAGAGCGATGCACGTCTGTGCGTGTGTACCCTGTGAGCGCTTTTCAACCCGTTATTCCATCGCTTAAGCATTGCTTGCTATTTATACCGGGAACCACTGCAGATGACGTGTTTTCAGCCATGATTCGGAACAAAATTGTGGACGGCAAAATTGTTCGTTTCGAGGCGCTTGATATACTAAAGGACGAGAAAACACCAGTTATATTAAGGAAGACAGATGTATTACCCAACACGACGCTACTGGTTCGAGTACTCTCCAACAAGCGGCAGCTCTTGTAGCACAGGTGAGAAGGTAAAGTTTTTTTCCGTAAGAGTACCATGGTCTAGTTTTCGAAGGCGTGTATCTTGTTATGCATATTTGATGATATTGATGGAGATGATAATAGTGCTTAAAGTGTGAATAAAGACTTTTATTTAACAAGGAGAATCATGATTCCAAGTGAACATGCGCAAAGTAGGCGTACCTTTTCTCACTGCGTGCACTAATTCACTGTGAATAGATAGATCCTTTTAAGAGGAAATAACGGATATAGAAAACAATGGAAATTCATGCTTAACAAACTCCTACAGGAAAAATCCTATTTTCTTGTATTCTGAAGCTACTTGTGATCTAGCATTGAAACTGATTGCTCTGTGTCTGGTGCACGTCTATTTTGCCTTCTGATTTTTATTTTCTTAGTGTCTTCTGGTCCCACTACCTCAAATTTTTACAACACGTTCGTAGTGGTATTTTTTTATGAGCATTTGAACCGTGGCTTATCCAACACATTACTTGAGTTATACGGGTAATTAGGCTTTACGATTTATTTTAAATTTTTCAAAACTTCCATAATTTTTGTATAATATATTGAAGATAGTGTCTAACTCTCTGTAGACTGAGTTCTCTTGTTCTTTTGATAGGCGTGCACGTTTTGTAATCATTTGTTCATCTGCATCTATATATACGTTGAGTAGTTTTTAGGCTTGTTACTGAAGCAGGTTTGATATTATATCCTATTATCAGCGTCTACATTCGTTTGTCAGTAGGTATTTGATTTTATGCTTCAGGTGCCAATGTCTAGAGTGTGTCGCTACTCTCTCTCAAACCCACCGCCCAGCAAGGGTCCTCTGAATGGCAATGAAACTATTGAGGAGGCTGACCTCCTTGATGTGCAGGCTTTACAGGCAGAAAAAGCCGGAGATGATCCACAATGTATTCAGATCATGGAGCGATCTGTCCAGATACGAGCTCGTGTGATTTCTCAAATGTCTGAACAGCTTCAAGGTAGCGATGTCGATATGTCTGTCTACACAACTTACAATAACGCCCTATCCGGTCTCTCTGCAGCGGCAGAGCGACTTGCCATCAAGTGCAACACCTTTGCGATCCAAAAGTTCAAACAACGGGACTTCAACACAGCAGAATCACTATTGAAGTATATTCTGGATCTAACCAGTGAGCAGGGATCGTTTCTGTGCCAGTCTGATGAACGCCGTTGCTACCTCCGTAGCGTTACACTCAACAATTTAGGTTGTATGGAGCGCCGTCGGGGCCACTACCCTGAGGCACTTAAGTATTTGCAAGAGTCGATGGAAGTTGTTGGTTCGGAGTCACCAATTCCTTACATTAGCATAAGTGCAATTCTGCTGCAGCTGCGGCAATGTGAGGACGCAGCTAATATGGCACAACGGGCGATTGATCTGATGCCCGATGTTCCAAAGGATCCATCGCTTATTGCTGTGGCACACCATAATCTTGCTATGGCGTTGGAAACCATTTCGAAGGATGCATCTTTTGAGGAGTATGAGGTTGCCTATAAGATGGCTTCTGCTACGTTGGGAAAGGAAAGTCCCACTACACAGTTGATTTTGGCAAATTGGCAGAGGTTTGAGAGGATACATTGCCCAGAAACGACGCTTGCAGGCCGGTCTGCTGTAGGCCAAAGTTCCCTATCAAAATCACCTATGAACGGCGCACAAGTTAACCGCCCTAGTTCCTTTCGAAAACGTGAGCCTATTCCTAATAGCAAACAGGACCCACATCAGGTGAGTGGCAGTAACCAAGTAGCTGACATATTTCCACATCCATTCTTTCGCAGTCAATATGAAATTCCTGGTACTAGCTCCTTTAGCAGAAATAATAAATCACAACCTTATTTTGACAGTTTACAGCATTTTGCACACAAGCCACTTTTTCCACATGTTAAGGGTGACACTGCAGGTAGCCACGGCACTGAGCGTCGTCCTTTACCAAAATACGCACCCAATCTACAAAAGGGTGCAATGGAAACTGCTGCCAATCCTCATCCTGCGGCTTCGGACATAGCATCTGCTGTTGATAAGTTACCGCACACTTTCCCACCCAACACCGAGCGCTACACACTGAAGTCACTTGCTCAACATGGCACGGATAGAGGATGGGTAGAAACTTTACCACCTATCGCTAAACCCACACCGTTTCTCCCTAATGTTCCAAAGCACAATACTCCTCGAAAGACTAAGCCAAGCTCTAGCAAGGCAATCCAACTCTGTAAAGCTGTTTCGCCCCCCCACAAGGCACCAGCTACGAAGGAATTTACTCGGACCAAGACTGTGACGAGGAAGATATCTCCGCACAAGACCGAAGCTGCAAAGGAAGCTCTGCGGAACTCGCCGCCCAAACCTCTTCACAATGCTTTATCTTCTGCTTCAGACCCGACAGCTCCCATTTCTTTCAATCGTACCGATACCTCTGCAGTGCGCGGGCATCCGGCTCACACCGCCTTTGTCAAGGTTTCTACAGCAAATACTCTAACGCAGTCCAAGAGCCCAGGAGCGATGACATCACATTCACCTAAGCGTGCGGCCCAATCTTCGGACTGTGCTGTGAGGCAAGATGCAGCGGAGGGAATATACGCTACCGATACCCTCATTACTTCGCCATCTTTTTCTAGACCAAGTAAGGATCTAGTAGAGTCAATGATAGATCGACTGGAGATGCTCCTCCATGATGAGGAGGAGATGGAGCGCAAGTACACGAAGGCTTTGATTATTCAGAAAAACTACCGCCGCCATTTGTCGCAACGACGTGTACTTACGATGCGAGTGAATATGGACTTTGAGAACCGATTACGCCGTATTCGTGAAAACTTGGCGGCAAGGACGATTCAAACGGCATATAGACGCACGCTTGGTAGCCGCTCTGTGGCGCACGGTTGTCGCCGCCCACCACGGCGTACCACCCGTGGCATGATAAACATGGCGGCTGTTCGGATACAGTCGGTGGCCAGAGGCTGGCTAGCCCGTCGTGAGTATCTGCGGCGACAACACTATCAGCGTGTGTGCGACAGCGCCTCAACTCGAATCCAGAATTGGTTTCGATGCCTTCGGGCGCGTCAAGAGCTCCAGAGATTGCAGATTCAGAGGAGATTCGAGGAGGAGCCCATCTTCAGGTTACAGCGACAGGACTACGCCGCGAATATTATACAAAAAGTATGGCGTACCCACCGTCAAATTCGATTATCCCGGGAGGAGCTTCAACAGCGCCGTGTTCGCAGGCTTGAGGAAGAAATGCATCTTCTTTCCAAAGCCGCTTCTAGAATACAGAGCGTCTGGCGTGGATTTGTCTGTCGTCGGCAGGTTCGCACGTGCATGGTAATCGCAAAACAGCGTGAGGCTGAACGATACGAGTATCAGCGCCTCCGAAATGCCACAATCAAGATACAAAGCTTTTGTCGCGGCATGCTTGTGAGGCGTCAAACCTCTCCTTTCTTGGATAGGGCACGGCGACGCGCTGCCAAGGCTATCAACCTTCTCTCTCGTGCGCATGCTGCTGCTGGTGTTATTCAGCGTGCGTACCGTTGCCACCTTGGGCGTAGGCGGCTGTGTCTGCTCAAGGCGGAACACAATGTTCTTGTGCGTGAGTCTCAACTCCTTGCTTTGGCCTCATTGGTGCAGCGGGTAGGTAGAGGCTACTTGTTCCGTCTTAATCTTTCAAAAGAAGTTTCGCACTTCGCATGCGAAGCTAGGCGTTACCACCAACAACTATCAGTACTACACCAAGGCGTTGCTCACAGTGAAAGCAAGTTCCCTACGGAGGTGTTGCATTTATTGGAACAAGAGGAAGAAACGCAGCGTTCCGTGATAGAGATAGAGGAGAGGCGCGCTTGGCGATCTGTCAAGCACTGGGGTAATACTATTCCAATGGATTTGTCCGTATTGCCGATGGTTCGTAGAAATTCAGGAGACCTTGCAGAAGCCACTGATCCGAAGCAAGACGGGCCAGCTGAGGAAGTCGTGCGTGAGGTGTGTGTTTATGAATCTGAGAAGCTCTGTACCGCCAAACCTAAGGAGGAATCGGCGGCGTTTATCATTACTCGCTTTATGCGACGTGCCGCGAGTAAACGTGCTTTGGCACGGCATGTCAAAGCGATTCAGCATCTGCGAGTGGAGGAGGAAGATAGCGTTGCTGAAGAGGATGTGACCTGTCGGGATACTACTTTCGGAGATATCCCTGCAATTGTGAAGAAACCCGTCATGGAATCGAGTCTCACGTCGGTAGACAACCGCGAAGCTGTTGCCCGTGAGCAGGAAGAGCTGAGGAAACTGGAGGAGATGGAGAGGGTACTTGAAGAGGCGGATATCTTCCAAAGGTTGCTTGAAGCGGAGGCTGCAATATGCACTGCTTTTCCTGACGAGGAAGAGTTTTGTGTTGACAATGGCGAAGAGATGCCCCGAGAGCCAAGTGAGACAGAGGAGTTACACATTGATGGGCCATCCTCGGAACCTGATGAGGGGGGTACAGTTTCCATTGTGCCGGAGGAAAGTCAGCTTAAGGAGTTTGGGGATCGCGAGGTTCAGACTGAGGAGCCGATCGCTCAAACTAGTCATACCGAAGTCATAGACACTACTGCGATTGCCGAGTGTGATGCTGTGGAAATGCACATGTCTGTTTTTGATAGCCATACTGAGCCTATGCTTAACGCTCTTCTCGATACGGCTGCACGGATTCTTCAACAATTTTTCCGTTTTGTTGTAGCTCGCAAAAAATTGCTTCGACTTCAGCAGATGAATCGTGAGCGGCTAAACATTGAACTGGCAGCTGAGGCATTCCTCAATAACGCATCTACCGTCATCCAGTCCGTTTTCAGGGGGCATCTTGCACGACGGCGTGTACGGGAGCTATATGCAAGGCAGGAACGATACTTGCGGTCCCTACACGATGAGCTCACTAGTGAAAATTCTGATGATAACAAAGTAGTTCTCACTGATTCTAAAGTGAATTCTAAGGGAAAGTCGTTTGAGGATAATGTATTATTTTCTAACGAGGTTGAAACTCAGTTCAAATTCCCCTCTTGTGATCAGAAAAATGTTTCCAAAGAATCTCCACCAATTACTGCTGCAACGCTTTCCGTGTCAATACCTTTTGAGTGTCGGAGCGTCAGTCGCAGCACTGCTTCTGTTGAAGAAATAGAATCTAATGATTAGCGATAGTATCATTGCCGAGTAGGATCTGATTGTTCGCAATGAAAGTCAGGAATATGAAAATATATATACATAAATATGTGATTTAAAAGTTTTGTTTGTTATGCCATCTGATTTACCATGAAATTAGCGCGAAGCTCATCATGTTTCTAAAAAAGCGCGCATACAAACTTATATACGTACGTATATAGCTATCATGTATTATTACTAAAGGGTCTTTATTTTCAATTTTTTTTGTTTACGCTGTTCAAATTATTGAATATGACCTTTTCCATTTTCCTTTTTGTCCATGTAATATTATCCTCATTATTAATAACATTAATGTTCCCCACGTACAATTAGAAGATGTAAACTTAATCGCATTCCTCATGGCCTATAAAACTTAGCTATTTTACGCTTTCTCTTAAATCTTAACTAGGTCTTAACCCAATATTACCACGACTAGTAAAAACAAAGGAGGGTAGGCAGCAGGCAAAATATTTTCTATTAGATAATATAACCCTTTTCCCTTCCTTCCCTACTAAAAAGAAAATGCTTTTTGAACCATGTGGTAACCTTCTTCAGGATTACAGTGCATGTTGTGAGGTGCTTCGACTTACTGAACGCGAGGAAGTATACAGTTCAGTCATGACTAGTGAAACAATATTGAAGCAACGCGAAACGTACACAACTTGCAGCTCTGAAGCTGAAAATGTTGGTTTCGGGAATAATACCATCCTTTCCTTAGGAGAGGACTCCTTCCAGAGCTCTAAATTTGCCGATAAAGGGGCGGTGCTGATTTTGACTGCGTCTACCAATCCTGAGGATCAAAACGACGCGAGCAGGCGGCGAAGGGACTCCTTGTCAAAGCTGAATTCTTCTGCTCAAAGTGCTAATCGAAAGAGGGGATCCTTTTTCCAGATCAAGGGTTTAAAGAATTCAACTGCACTTGAGGGTAATGCTTCCGGGGGTATTTCCTCTTCCACGAAGATACCTTTCACCATAGTGTCTTTACGTAACGCTAAATTTTGTATCAACCAGCGTGATATGGCACCCTTAACGCGTGCCATACCTCATTGCACGTCACTAGTCTCGGTGGAGATGGTGAGGTGTGGCCTGTCTGTCGAAAGCTATATGCTGTTAGTTGAGTCTATCTTCAAAAGTCGCCTCGTAATCAACGTTGCAGTAGATTTCAACTATTTACCACACGTAGGTTTTGTGGTCGATCCCACTCTGCCACCATCAGAGACTTTTGCAGCAGAAAGGGGGAACAAAACGGAGTCAAAAGGGGTTACAGACATGCTAGAGGTAGCGGTACATAATCCTGAACTCAACATCCGAACTCCTACCCCTGTGCGGACTGAGGCAGGAACTGGCAGATCCAAGAAGCGACCACAGAGTCCAGGTTCGAATAGCGTTTTAGCAGCTCCTCGTGAGAAGGCTAAATCAACGACTATTATTGCGCCTGTGGATAATAGGCCATCTACTATTTATCTCAACCCAACTGAGCTTTGCGGTTTGCATTTTATCCCTACATTACTTGAAGAGCAACTTCAGGAAGAAAAAGGACGGAAAGGAAAGGTTGATCCAAAGAAGCTAAGCCAATTACAATCCCAACAGGAGATGCTTCAACAATTTAACGATTCTCATCGCATCATGGTTCCACGCGGCTGGGAAGGGATGCTGTTTACTGGTGTTAGATATTTGAGCCTGCGAGGCAACGGGATTGATGACATGTCCATTAAGTGCATTGTGGAAACCATTCTAAATAACCCTTACACTCAATTACTTTCACTCAACTTGTGGGGTAATCGTATTACTGATATAGGCGCAAGTTACTTGGCGGTTCTTCTTCGCAAAAATCGAATCTTAAGAGCTCTTGACATCGGACACAACCTCATTGGGGATATTGGGTTGCTAGATATTATTGATAGTTTCCGTATGGTGGAACTAGCTGGTGTTGAACAGATTGCTGCTTATCGTTATCTGATGCTCACACGTCCTGGTGCCAGCGAAGCGGAGCGCGCGGCAGCACAACAAGCTGTGCCACCTACTGCGTATCCCACGTACCAGGACCTCTACAACCAGTGGTTTTCTCAGGTAATCCGGCCTTCACTTTTGTTTTTGGATGAAAAGGGTGCCGGTGCCCCGAGCTGCTTCCCTTTTACGCGAAGGCGATCCCTAACTTATAACGTTGGCAAAAATACTGGTTCCAAGGGCACTGCCGGCAGTGCTAACAAGAGTGATGCAATTTTTGCTGTCCAACGCCCCACCACACCGTTTGACCGGTTTTGTATTCGTGTACCTGTTCTTGACGAAACTGGTGCCGCTACCTCAGGCTTTATAGTGCGCGCACCGGGGAATACTGTGCTCGAGATACTTAACCTTGGTGAGAACGAGTCCATTACCTTAGCAGGAGCTATGGAGGCGTGTCGGCGGTTGTCAATGCATGAGCCTCGCACTGATGAGGAAATGCAAACTATGTCTGTTCCTTCTGAGACTAGTAGTAGATGGAACTCGGCTTCGGTGGATCGAAGTCACTGCATTTTACCAGAGGCCACAGTTTCAAATGCTTCCAACAAGGCAAACACACACTGCACAAATGTTAATCTTCTCCCACCTTCCGTGCACACACCGGAGCTTCATTGCGCTGGCCTGCGCCTACAGACATGCATAGTGAGCTCTTTCCAGTACAATGGAAGATATTCCTGGACTGAGATGCAGAGGGTACAGCAGCAGATTCAGGAAACCCTGGATCGATGGCCAGCCTTGAATGCTGAGTGTGTGTCACAAACAGCTGAATCTTTAGGGAATCAAACCAAGATGGATGAGCAAACGGCAAGCTAGTAGGTCGCCTCAAGTGGGTGGTCCAGGCTGCTCTTTACTCTCTCCCAAGGGCTACCAACCGATTATTAAATCGTCTGTAGTGAGTATGTGTTGCAAAAAATGTATCTATAAATTTTTATATGTACTTTTCGATACTTTTTTCTCTCTCTCTCCTTTTAGTGCCCTTATTGCATGAACGGATATTATTATTGGGACGCCCATTGCATCTGAGGAAAAAAAGGTATGGCTTAAGGGGAACATGCCGCAACAGTTTTGCATTTTTTACATTTATCCATATTTAGATCCCCATTTTATACTATTGTTAGTTGTTTAAAGTATTTTATCATCTTATACTCCTTTTGTGTATCCTTTGACCCTAAAAATCGCCCTTAAGGAGGGTTTTATTTGTAGATCAGCTTGCTCTACCAAAGATTTGTTGAACATAATTATTACTATTATTATAGCATGTCGTGGCGAGCTCGTTTTACTCCGTGCATCGGCTCCATTATAGTATGGTTGAATCCAAAGGATCCAAATTGCTTTGGTGTTCGCAATTGGTGGCGAAACAATATGCCCGAGCTGCAGCTACTGAACCCATTCTGTATTTTCACAATTCAGGAGCTTTCCTTTGGGGAGCCTCATATGCACATTATTTACACCCCAACGGATCAGCGCATGATTCGTCTTGCTGGTGCCACTGAGGAGGAATGTGAGGACATCATGGAAGCTTGTATCACTTACGGCATGAATCATGTGATTCTTGATAGGCCTCGAACAGACGATGGTGGTGATCTTATCAACCAGCCAGCCGTCATATCGTTTGGATATATGGAAAGTTTCACGGCAAAACTGGAGGTGTGCCCTCCGGCGGATATCGGGCAGCGGACGACTGAGGGTGTAGATGATCCGGGACAGAAACCTCGTGTGTATCCGCGAAATATCGGCTGTAAATTAATACCCTAATTAGTCAAATATGTGAGCTCTTCACCTCTGAAAGAGAACATCGGAAGGAAGTAACTCCGTTGTGAGGTTGATCTTCGTTACGCGTAGAAAGTATTGTTTATAGTAGTTATTTTTTTTCCGTAGTATGACCTGGTGCATTATTCGGAGTTCCAAGGGATAGAGTTTTGTGATTTATTTAGCTCTTAGCAGTAATAATGTTAGCTGGAAAATGTGGTATCCTTTTTATTACCAATATTATCATTTTTGTCTGCATGTTTAGATACTCTCACACGTGTTTGAAAGGAATACTCCCCAAAACTACACAGTACAAGCTGTCACAGTAGAATTAGTCTCCCTCGTGAACCGCTGATGGTAGTATATCTTTCCTATTTTACTTCAGCATTTCTTTCGATCCTCTGCCTTTCCATTTTCTCAAAAACGTGGAGGTAAGTTTATGTATTGTACAGAGGATAAGACACTTGGATACGAAAGAAGATAGCTTTTACATTAGTCCATTATTTTACAGTAATCTACATCTTAATTGATAAGATTTCTTATAACATAGTGTTTTACCTAAATGTCATCTTCCTTATCCTTCAGAGCATATTCTAAGCTCTTCACGACTAAGTTACGGGCGCGGATGCACAATCAGTCTTTTACGAGCACGGTCATGGAGCGAGAGCGCATCCGCATCACCACAGGGGGCAGAATTGCACTACAACGTGTGGATGAACTCGTTAAGCTCAAGGTAGAGCACCAGTCTAGCTTTGATCCCACACTTCGGGTTCGTGCTTTACAGTCGCTGCAAACACTTCCACTTTTGTCTGCCGATGAAGATCCGCACTTTGTCCAAAGCTTGCGAGCGCTCCGGGTCGCTGCGTACTTTCGAGCTGTGCAGTCTCCGTCCACATTTGCGTTGCTTAACCACATCACCAAGCACACTTACATGCTGGATGGGTTTAATTTATACCATTTATCTGCCACGTTGCTGGAGCTGCAACATCCACAAACTGCTGAGGTACTGAATATTATACGACCTCGCATCTATCAGGTAGTACTCAATTACGACGTGACTGCAGTGGAAGCGGTTCTTTTTTTACATGTACTTTACAAGTTCCATCTAGATGACTCGGTCTTGATTCAGAAACTGGCAGACATTATACAACACACGATATCAGACCTTCCTCTTGTAGACGTGACGCGTTGTATTTCCGCGTTGCCTTTTACGCGTAGTAAGGTCATAACGCAAAGGATTTTATCAACAGCCGAAGGAAAATTGTGCGAGCTACTGGAGGAAGCTGTCACAAACTACAGGGTATATTGTGGGGGCTTCCACGACGGTTTTGAGTCCCTCTCCACGTTACTTTCTACTGAAGATAAATTAAATGGAATGACAAGCCGGCGAAAAGAGGTTCAAGAGATGCTCTTAAATAATGCTAAGAGAAGCCGTACACTTATTCGAGAGCTATCGCGCACGGTGATGTGGGCACACCAGGCACCACGGCGCCTGATGAACGGACTCATATGCGCTGCGCTTGTGTACTCGGAGAGGAATGTCTCTCAAGAGGTCTTGAAAAGTGTGATTGTAAAAGATGAGACCCATAGGGCATGTGCCGAGGTAACAGAGGCGTGTGGGCCATCCTCTACAACGCCCCTTGTACAGTCAGTAGAGAAGGTAGAAGATATCCAAGACTTGTGTAGTAAGACTCTGCCTTTCCTATCTCGCCATGACATCTGCCTTTTGATGAAAGCCCTCTGTGAGGTGCATTACCGTCATGAGCGTGCACTTCTTATTTTAGCCAGCCGTGCTGCCATCGCTAGCTCTTCCCGGAAATGGAATACAACCGATCAGGATAGACAATCGCCGAGTGGTTCCCTACTACATGGTGTCTCACCATCTGCACCGCCCCTAGAAACTCTTCAAGATTTAAGCTTGGCTGTTGAGTGTTTGGCATACTTTTACTTACTACATGCTAGGTGTACAGTGGCTGCGCTTCTGCAAGAGGTCGATACTCTTGTACGCGACGCCGTCAATCCGCTTCTTTTGACCCCGGCGGTGGAGGCTTTAAGCCGGCTTATGGTAAGTCTGGCACGTCTGCACTACCCGGCCGCGGCGGTCGCTGCAGAGGCGAGTGGCGATATTGCAGTTCTTGAGTCGACGTGCACGTGTGAGCCCATCACACGCTACTGTATGAGCCCCTATTGTGCGCAGGATCCTCTCTTGGCGTCTCACCTCCTCAGTGGGTTGGTGCAAGTCTGCGTTCAGATACAGAAACCTCAGGATACAGCTGCTGTCGATCCACTACCTGTGCGCAAACGGAGTATTCTCGTGTCTCATTTATTAAAGGCATTGTCGCCTTCCTTTCTTGATGATGCTGTTAGTCGAGAAACGCCATCAATCTCCGCGCGAATGCCCTTGAATCACGTAAGAGATGAAATCGCTGCATCCGTAGAGCTGATCCAGGCCAACCCGTCTGCATTTGACCTATCCATCATGGATCCTGCCCTGGAGGAACTACGAAAACAATGACATGATTCCATTCAGGGTGAATCACAAAAAAAAAATCACTCATTTTTTTTCAATATCGCCCCCCCTTTTTTTTCTTGTGGATCGACATTGCTGCCAGGCTTTTTGGAGTTCACATTCGAGTGGTAATTTTGTGTGAAGGTGAATCCGAGTAAGAAGGATAGTATAAACAACATGAATGATTAGAGCTTCACATACACTTAGTAGATTAATTTCAGAATTCTAATTGAAGCAGAATGCGCGTATATGCAGCAGCCTTTGAGTGCACTTTCATTTTCTTCCTCGATTATTGAATAGATTATTCCTTCTTTTTTTAACTTCTGCTTTCTATTCTCTCCTACTTTTCGCATGGTAGCGGTTTAGTTTCTTTCGTAATATTTCTTTAAAGGGTGTTAATTTAATATCTATCGACCTTTACAGCCTCTTAAACTGATTTACATCTTTGATTCCTGCTATTTTAACTTTTTTTTTTACTATATCTTGGGGCGTCAATGTACACCAACGAACAGCTTCTCAGTGCTAATTTCGACTCTGATGCCTATCTCAAACATACGTTGCATGTATCTAACATTTCAGCTGAGCAGGCGCGCCTAACGGTTTGCCTCAATGAAGTTAAGGATAACATTCACAGTATTTTATCAGAGCACTCAGAGGGAATGATTAATCAGCTCAAGGCCACTTATAAGGTGCAACATGATGTCACAATTGCACGTCAATCCACCGACTCAATCGTTAAAGCCACTAGTCGTCTTAAACTAATGATTGAGGATCCATATTTGGCGATACGAGATAAGATCCAGGAGTTGGACACTACTAAAAATGCCCTAGATGCATTACGACAGGTGCAGCGCTTTTTATCTTTATCCGCCAGGCTTCAGGAACACAAATTTGCAACCGACGCCGACCTCATCCGTACCGCACGTATCCTTTCTGAAATGGAGAATCTCTCCATGCATTCTGTTGTAAGAGGCATCGACATAGTGGAGCCGTGTATAAGCTTGATGGAACGCACTTCGACAGCACTTCGAAACAAAATTCATGAGTTGTTGTCTATGCCTGATATTTTTTCCTCTGCAGTGGGGGAGGGTTATTCAAAGGTTTCCGGGAGAAATGGCGAAGTGTTGCTTTTCTGTCTCAACAAGGTTATGATGGATGTTGGTACAGCTCTTCAATGCGGCTTTACCTTGGGTATGCTTTCACGCGTCGTGCATAACTTTATGATCGAACACAAGCGGGAAGTCATCAAAACTATCGTGCGGGAGCTTGATCTCCAGTCGATCGCAGGTGCCCTCGGAGGCCTAGCGACTTCTAAGGTCAATGCAGCTGGTGTTCCCGGCGATATCACGAAGGAGGTTTCTGACACACAAGGTGGAACACTCATGGACTATATTCAATCAGTCCTCTATGTGGTGGTGCAGCACACACAGTGCATTTTAGTATTGTGGCAGGTGTTACTCCGCAAGCAGGACTCCGTGACGCATGCTAGCTTCATAGCGATGCTGGACACCCCTGTACAGCTGCTGATGGATTACTGGAATACAGTCATGGACAAACTTCGTGAGCGGCTTGTTGCCCTACAAAAGCAGACCAATATGCAAGCTATCCTGGTCACTTGCTATCCACGCCTACATATGCTTCTGGAGAGCTTTGTGTGTAGCAGCGAGAGTTTTGTAGAGGGCGGTGTACAGCAGTCCGATACTTCATCCCTCCCCTTGCACTACGTCCGACAATGGGGTATGGGTGACTATCTTGATTTCGTTCAGCATGTTGAGTTAGAGGTGAGTAAATTAGAAGGAAATACCACCCATGCCAAAAATGATAATAGTAATAGTAGCAGCATGAATATCAAGAGAATAAGACAGGTCTGGCTTCTGGAGATTGTCAAAGGGTTACAGCCGAGATTCGCAGCGCAGATGATCAACCGGCACCGCAATCAGCTTTTACCTTCCCTTGCCATGTTGTCAACCATTACCCCATCATCGATGGCTACAGGCAATCAACCCATTTCGGTACCTGCTAACGTTACTGGTACTTCAGGCAGGCACCGCGCGCCGACCACACCGCTGCCACAGACCAATACAATAGAGCTTAGTGCCTATACACATGCTGTCGTTCAAGAGTGCTATACCTATCGGCAAGACCCACATACTCTGCTTCTTTCTGTTGAGTGTGTTCTCAAGTGTCTGGCACAGCTTTATGAAAAGTTCAAGGAAAGCGCAGTGCGTTTTCCGTTGCCTCCCCTCCCTGCGGTAACATCTGTTGTCACACGGGCACAATTGATGCACATATCTATTGCGAACGCCTGCACAACACTTGTGAATGACTTTGCAAATCTAATCACTTTGCTTCCTGATGACATCGATACACCAGGTGCTGAGAAGCCGAATAACCCAAATGACAAAAGCAGTAGTGAAGATCTGGGGATGGTAGTGGGTGACTGGCCGCAGACTCTGAGGATGTTGTGCCTCAAGCGGCGGGAACTACACGATCAAATCCAGGCCTTCCGAGTTCTAAGTGAAGAAAGTTCGTGTCCGTTTCTAGACTCCATGAATGTTGTTCTTCTTTCTTCTGTTTCTCTTTGTGTCGAAGGCTACCTATCGGATTTCCATTCCCATGGTAGTAGCGGTTCCGGTAATGTATCACAGAGTGACCGGAAAATTTCAGCAATCCTTGAGCTACAAAAACTAGTGGATGTTTTTATAATCCATTTTTATCACCGTTTTGACCCGCGTACATCGAACTTGGGAGATAGGGTTCGACAGCTTATTGACTCACAATTGTCTCGTCTCTTGGTTAGTGTGGCTGTTATGACTAGGCGGAGCAATGCGCTAAATAGTACAAATTGGTGCCGTTGCATGCTCCAATGCGTTTCACAGGTGGAGCCTATCTTACTTTCGATCGCATCAAGTCAGCAAGATGGACAAGGCCGCAGTACATTACTTCTTAGAGGTGCTGTGCACCGGCTAATGCAGTTCTACAACGCATGGTCTGCTTCTCTGCAGACGGTGCAGCAGCTCGATCAGGCTGTGGAACAGATAAAATCCATCTTGAAGCCTCTGTATCCTCTTGCTTCCCGTTTGCTTTTACTCCAGCGTCTGAGCTTCGCAGTGGCCCCAGCAATATATATGGAACAACAAGGAAGTGTGTTAAGCGTCACGGCCACCCTAGGATGGAGCCCTGATGAGTTAGCGGTATGTGTGGAATCAGGATTGCGCTATCACTGTGATGCATCGTTAAGAGCGCTTACAGAATGCGAAGTGGCACAGTTGGCGAAGGTTGAGAAGGCGGTGCAGACCTGTTTTGACGCGTCCATGAAGAACATCCAGAACCAGGATGAGGCGGATGTTCTGTCATATGCTTGGCAACAGTTGTGACCTTTCAAGAATTTAGACATATGTGCCAATCAAGAGGTATTTCATCAAAGTGTTTTTTTTTTGAATGAGGCATACATATATGAATCAAGAGAAAAAATTTCATTATCTACGTTCGTAATACACGTCTCTTGAATTATGAACGTACCTTTAAAATCGAAGTAGACAAAAACTTTGGTATTTAGTTTGATTGGGGGTATTTATGTGTCTATGTAGGCTTTTCTACCCTTCTTTATATCCACCTGCAGTGAATGGGACACACAATCAAAGTTTATTTTCACTTCAAGTCTTTATGTCTGCACTGCTTACGCAGCTTCAGAACATTCTACAATCGTGGGACGATATCCAGCCCTTACTAAATGAACATTCCAAAACCGAAGATCCTTCTGTTGCAACCACTGCTGCTATTAATAATTCTGTGATTTTGGAAGATAATCCCCTTCATAGAGGAGAAAATGCTGGCGATAGTATAATAGACGAGGGACACACTCAGTTATCGTCTGTTTCCTTTCCAACGATCACCAAAGTTTCAGAATTAGTCAAGGATAATGGTTCTTTTTCGCTGTATCATAATAGTCGTCAAGTACTGAGTAGGCTTGAGTTGGCCCGTGCGGCTCTGGCTCTTTTCGCCTCTAATGCTGGTGCGTATCGCCCCATTCTCACAAACCTTCTGAGGTATGTTTTCGAATGCATAGACTTTCTCATTGATAATCAGGCTCCGCCTACGCACGCAAGCCCGACTGATGATACTTCTGCCGCTGCAACAGGTAACGTTTCCACTTCATGTGGTCTTGGACTCGAGATTAGCAAAGCTGAAGATGTAGTGGCGAGCGCTCATCAGAAGGTACTGCTGGTGGAATCCCGTATGTCAGCGTTAGTCGAAGAGTCTACAGCTCAGCGCGATCGGTTTAAGGCCCAGCTGTTGGTACAACAACAGACGCAGACCAAACTGGAACATTTACTCGAGAAGCAAGTAGAATTGAACCACATGCTTACCAGTTACCCTGTGAGTCAGCATGATGGGGAGGGGCCTGTGCTAGATTTTTCCAGAACCATGAACATGACTAGCCGTCGGCGGGCAGCGTATGCCCAGCAACTTATCGCACGAGCCGAAAAGGAATCTACCATCATGGAGCTCGACGCCCGGGTAGAGGAACTGACCCTTGAGCGCGACAACTTGCAGGAAAAGTTGGTAAGCCTCAAGAAGCTCAACACTAAATATGCCCGGCAGGCAATAGAGTTGTCAGCCCGGCTTAACATTCTGAGGAATCATAACATCGCGCTGGCTTCAGACGCCGTGTTGTATCAGCACGACGCAATACGGGAGAAACAAAAGTCTCAGAAAATAGAGCGAGACTTAATGGTTACACGCAATATAATCCTGGTTCTGCTTGAGGTTAGACGACACGAGATGCTTTTCAGATTCAACAATCCTATTGCTAGCACCAATGCAGCAAAGACAGAGAAAAATGTAGAGACTATGGGTACTAAGGGCAGCATGGAGGATCCCCTTCAGTCGAGCAAAAATGATATACTTGATGCATGTTCACATTTATTTGCCTCTTCAGAATCCCCTGGGAATGAAAGCCGCTGTCGGAAGGACGATTTGGGTTTAGCTTCAAACCCTGTTTCTCTCAACAGAACGGTACATGTTAATTCTGATGCTCTGGCATGCACTACCGAGGATTTTCTTGCCTCTGTTCAGGACAACATACTGCGCAAGCAGCTGCAGGATATCATGCACATTAAAGATGCTTCTAATGGTGGAGCTGCGAAGAGTGCTCTCCTCAAGCTGCTTAACCTACAATGGGGTGGGTTCACTGGCAACAATAAATTACAAACAGGCAAGCAGCTTCCCATGCTTAAGGATGTTAGATCGCATCCTTGGGTCCGACCGTATGGGAGGAACTGTAATGTGCCGCTCCACCTTCGCAGTCGTGATTGTGTGATGTTGATACCTTTTCATCCACTCGTTGCAGAGTGCTTTGTTCATGAGTTACTATCACAGCGGCTTGAGTTTTTTGAGTTCTATGGACGGGCTGCACGGAGTTTGGATTCTGTTGCTAAAGGAAATCATTTTAATGCAACTGATGTTGTGGCACAGCGTAAAGACCTTGAAAAGTGTTCTTCATTCGCCAAGGCGTCGGAGGGACGTAATTTTTGTTTTTGCACCACAAAAACCATGTCAGTCCCTCTTGATGAATTCATTGTGTTATTTATCAATATGGTGTGGTTAAATAAAAACGCTATAGTCGTGCCCGAAGCGACACCACCACAGGATAGAACTGAGAAAGATACACCAAGCACACCCATTCAGAACCAAAGGTTGGGTCAGTCATTGACTAACGATCCCACTGCAAATACGCTTGAGTTTTTCCACCAGTACAGCTCTTTCCATGGACTCGAGGCCACATCGGAGCGAACAATCCCTGAGCAGCAGTCACAGCTGACGATGGAGGGCCTCAAGTTAGCGTATGGGCTGGATGTAGCCTCGCGGCGGCAGGACTGTAGTTTTTTAACCTACGCTTATGGTCTCGCGTCTCGTGGGGAGCTTTCAGAGGTTATTTTTACCGTAGTGCGCCAGGAACGTGATGTTTTCTTGGCCTTATGCGAGGCCGTTGAGAAGGAGCACATATCGAGGAAAGGGTCTAGATATCCAGTGATGGAGTCTTCAGTTGTGGAGCGGTACCACAGTCCTAGGTCACAAAATCATCCTCCGGTGAAGTCAAACATGATGCCTTTGCAAGGCACAAGTACTTCTGACTCGGAATCTACAATCAAAAAGACACATCACCCCCTTGGCTGCATCCCTACCCCACAGCTGGCGCGTATTTTAATCTGCATGTTCCCATCCTACCCTATTTCTCGAATTGAGCAAATGGTTATGGCTGCAATTGAGGATGGTGCCGACACCATCCAGGCTCCCCACATGCTGCACTATACTGTGCTTCTCCCTGAGCGACTCCTACCTGGATCGGTTGCAAGCGGCACTGCGGTGGAGCTGTCCGCATTCTGGAGTGAGGGTCGCTTTGCAACTTTGTTTTATAAGTCAATCTGTGATGACGCGTTGGAGTCAATGCAGCTACTGGAGGATACTTTGCAAGGTTTTGGTGATAGCTTAGCCATGCAGAAGCGGCACGTGGGATTAATGGAAACCTTTAGGAATTCTACGAATTTCGACAGCATGGATCTCCTTGTATCCGCCGAGCAGTTGACAACATTCGGGTTGAAAGTTCTTCCAGTTGCGGAGGGGCGGCGGTGGGGTCCAGCGCTTACAAGCGTGCTCACACGGTGCCCACTTTTTCGCCCTGCTTCCTTAGCTTTACGGGCGGGCTCGATACGTGAGAACGAGACACAGAATAGTGAAGGCGAGGTGGCTGTGTCTCCAACTTCGCAGCCAACGAATTCAGGACAAGAAATAGACCGAATGACATCTGCCTCACCAACCAGGAAGTCTATAACAGGTGTAAGCGCTTTCACGAGTGGAGTGGGTTATGTTAAGTTGGCTGAAGTAATGCTTTACTTGCGGTGCCATGTCATTTTGCGTCGTGGCTTGTATTCGAATTACGTCGAAGCTGCTCAGCCAGCTCAAGATATGCTGGGTGCTCTGAGCCAGGAGGAGGCTTTTCAGTCAGTATGGACGGAAGCCCATCTTGAGTACGTTAAAACCCTGCAAGACACATGGGAGCATTATGCACTTGAAGGTGAGTCCGTCTTGGTTGCGGATGCGGAGTTCTTTTGGATGTTGCTTTTCGAAGCGGATCCTCATCGCTCTAGGATCTGGGCTACAGCTGCCGCTTCACATGGGAGTCCATTGCTGCGCCACTAAGGGCTGCTTCATTGCCGCGGAAACAGCGATGATTGAGCTGTAATTTAGGGATTAGAGGTTCAAATGGTAAGTGCAGTTTCACGATTTGTTTCAAAGAGAATTAAAAGAGAGAGAAGCCTAATTCATTGTTCAAGAATATGATGGCTCATTATCTTTGCTCTTTTAGAGTGGTGATATCCAAGCAGTATGCATTTTGAATTTTTTTGCGGAGATGCAAGGAGAATTTCCCCTGCGCCTTTCGTGGTTTTTCTTTCTTACTATTTGTGCCTTGCTTTCCTTTCTATGAACCGTGTAATTTACAAACATTTTTGTCGAAAGGTCTATTTTAAATATTTTCTTACAGAGGATATTGAACTATTTATAAACCACAGGAATAAGTGTGTATCTTAGGGATTTGGTTTCACGAAGCAAGGTGCAGCCGTTAATTTATCAAAATTGTTATGTATATATCCTATGCATTTTCCTTTTTTAATAGTGTCATTCTGCGCAACTTCAGAGTAAAAGGTGCTACATTCCTTGCTTATAATCCTGACTTCAGTTGAAGTTGCAGATAATATCCCCCCCAAAATGTGAAATTTAATAATAATTCAGTAACAATGCCACTGTTTTTCTGATTAGCTACTATAGTGTGTTCAAGGAAACTTTAAAAAAGAAAGAAACAACGTGCACTTCAATCAAAGATATTTTAGTCAAGCTAGACAATAGCCCATTTAGAGCTCTATCAAAGGTCAAGATCACTTGAAGGTGAAGATGTCAAATGATGAAGTTGTAAAAATTCTCTTATTGGGACCTCCCAAGAGTGGCAAGAGCACCATAGCGAACTTTCTTGGGATGGAACGCGATAATCCGAGCAACCGATACTACGAAACGAAACCATTGCGTATTATTGAGACATATCTCGACGTTGAATCGATCAAGTTGGACAACCGCCGCGTGGTCTTTGCGGGGAGCGATTCTAAAACAAAGCGAGTACGCGTCCAATTATGGGATCTAGGCGGGAGCCCCAAGAATCAGCCCTGCTGGCCTGCCGTGGCGGACAAGGCGGATGGTATTATCTTTGTGTTTAATCCGGAAATAAAAAATAGTTCGAAGGAACTCTCCCTGTGGTACAAGAATTTTGCTCTTAACTTGAACGAAATCGATGAACTTGGAAAGAGCGTGCACCGTGTGCGGGACGAACACTGTCTTATTTTTGCTCACCACTCTACCAATCCTCAGCGCGATGTAGGGGAGAGTGTGATCCCCCACATGCCGCAGGGAATGGAGGGAATCAAGACATTGGAAACGTCGCTGGATTATCATAGCGAGAACTTCAAGTATGCCTTTGACAAGTTGCTGGAAAGCATTGTGGTTGCCCGAATGGGAGCCGAGGAGGATGAGTTACTGCGGCAAGAGAGAGAGTCTTCTGATCAACCGCATTTTGTTTATTAACGCATAAACAAGTGATATAATGACAAATGCAAAATGCAAAATGCGTACGTCACACTAATGTTGCGATTATGATGATGCTGATCTTTGTTTGCTTTCTTGGAATTCTTGAAAGACAACAAGTTCTACCCGTTGTGGGTTATATGTACAAAAAACAAGAAAAGGTGAGTAGAAAGCCTTTCACCAAGGAGCTTTTTTCTTTTATTGTCACATGATTGTTTCTTTGTATCATGGCGCTTGTCCTGTCACTTTTATCGTTAACTAAAGCTGTAAATGTAACCGAGGTGTATTTCTATTTCCTTCTATTTTTTTTCTGCATCTTTTTTTCTAGAAATCAATTCTTTCTTCACATTATTTTCTTAATTTTTAAACACCTGATTTCTTTTGTCTTTTTTTTTTTTGCTGAAAGGACTTCGTGTAGGAAGGAGTCTCTTATCTTTAGTTACTGTCAACCATTTGCCAAGGTATCCGTAGCAATCGTCCTCATTAGCCGTTTGCAAGGAATACTTTTCTTTTTCTTTTTCTTTTTCTTTTTCTTTTTCTTTTTCTTTTTCTTTTTCTTTTTCTTTTTCTTTTTTATTTCCAGATCTGGAAACAAAAAGCGAACCTTTCCGGAAAATTTTTTATTTACGTGTTGTTAAGCGACAGTAGCAAAAAAAGGTAAAAATATAGCCCATCTAGGGAGAGAAAAGCTCTGAGAAACGTGCGTTCACCAAGTAACCAAGAAAGAGTAGTCATCCTTTTACCTCCGTAGTATCAAAAGCTTTCTACAACAATAAAAATAAATATAGTTTCCAAAGTCCACTCCTAAAAATTTTGTTAACTATCTTTAGCTTGATTTTCTTGCAGCACTCGTGATTTTTTCGTTGTCAGCGCAGATTCGAAATCCTACAGTGTGAAGCAAGAGAAGTCGACAACTTCAGTTATATATCATTTTTTTCATTGCGCTTCTTTTTTTCTCTCAAGGTGAAATACTACCACTTTTATCCAATTCCTTTTTTTCAAACTAATTTTTTTATTTTTTTGTGTTTTACTCCTCACTCCCTTTAAGATCTTTTTTGCTTTTTTTTTGAATCTCATCTTTTCCCTCATTACATATATTTACAGGAAAAAAATAGCAAGAGTTTACATTTGGTAAAAAGAAAAAAACAAGGAACTTAAAAACAGGTAAAAAAGGAAGCTAACTGAGCTAAATATTTTCATAACTATTTAAATTTCTCTCTTTTTGTTTATTTATAGTTTTCTCTTTTTTCAAACCTTTTTGAGTGACGATATCCGGAAAAAGAAAAGGGGTCGAAAGATTTACAAACGTATCAACAAACTCAGCAAAGGCGGAAAAGAGGCGAGACAAGTATTACTTCACAGGGTGTTCCCTTATATATATTCAAATAGTTTTCAGTGGCCAGTATTCTTAATATAAGATCAGAAATAATCGAAGCATCGCTACAGGGTGGAAGTCTGGGTTGAAAAGTGAAACTAGGAAAAGGTTCCACATAACTCCTCCTTTCAGTTTTTTTTGAATTTTTTTTGAAAAATTTAATCAGGTGTTTGTATAAAGGGCGTGTCATTGTTTTTCCCACCCGAAAGAGTAAACCGGCCCCAAATTTTTTCAACTCGAAGAAAAGTTAGCATCTCAGAATTTCCACTTTGGGTGATAGATATAACTTTCAGACGCGTCCAAATACACATTAATTTAAACTCTCAACCAAACAATAGGAAAAGAATGCCCTGTCTTGATTCAGGATGCGAGCGTTGCCAAATTTCTTTTCAAGACGATGTTGATCATTTTGAGCTTGTAAATAATCTGCAGCTTCTGAAGAAGTCGTTGCATGTGGAGCACCTAGTTGAGTCGGCCTTTCTAAAGGAAAATGATATTTTTCTTACCCACGCTTACAACCGGCAGCAGCCTGCTTCTGAAGTAACCTCAACAAGAGACAGTACTAAAATTGCAGTGGAGGTGGATGCTAACGAAGAGGCAAATACTTCCTTAGATGGGAGTATACCTGTGAACGGAATGCATTACACTTGCTCGAACGGGGTTAATCAAAAGACACTGTCTCAATCTACCACAGTTTCATCTGAGGGTAATTGTCTCATGGAGAATGACGAAAATAATCTCTATCTTGATGATGGTGCTCAAGGGGATTATATTCCCTATAACTATGAAGAGGAGATGGAACAATGCAGCGAGTATATTTTCAGCAATCAGCCCTATTGCCCTCGTATGTCTAGGTCGAATTGCTCCAATTCTAATGTACCCACTGTGGCAGATGGGGCTAGATTTAGCAACCACCACGTCAGTGCGGAGCTTCCGGATACGGTGTCTGCGTACAACCGTGTCTATGGTATGAATGGCGGCCTCGAGAGACATTCAAGCGAATACCAAAAGCATGCCAATCGTCATTACCACTGGATACGAAATTGGCTTTGGGTTCAGAACATGCAAACACAGGTGTCACTAACCGATGAGCAATCCCAACATGCACTGCGTGCGCTTCTTCGGGAAGCTTGTCGTCGCGACATTCTTCGATTGCGTGCATTACCTGCGGAGAAGTTTATCAACACATCTCACCCCACGCAGTCGCAAAGTTCAATGGGCATATTTACACCTATCGAGATCAACCCCTGCACACCAACTGAATGCAAAGCTCTCTATATCCGCCGGGTTACCGAGAAATGGCACTCTTTGGCGAATAATGTAAACCGAGAGCTTGGAAAAGGCACTCCGACCCGCTCTCTTCTCGCACTGTTGAGTGCTCAGTCTCTTTTCTGCAGCGATCTTAATAATATCATCCGTGAACTTGAGCCCCGTCTAGTAGAGGACTCCAAGCAGCAGCGCCGTATCCGCGCCCAACAGCTGATCCTAGAGCTCTCAGAAAAGGGCCAGCTTTTTGTGCCACCGCCAACACCAGAGAGGGGCCCCGGTTCAATAGTGGAGCCGATGCAGCCTCCCTCTCCTACATGGAGTGGATGCAAGACACCTGACGATGATACCCCTGCGATCAGCTCTGATGACGATGGCGACTACGATGATGACAATCACAACGACTCCATCACAACTAGCATTCGGCACAACAATCTCCTTTAATGTGAGGTTGCCAATAAATTGGTATCATTGAGTATCATTATTTATTGTCAAGACTCCTTGAGATGTTATAGTTATTATTGCCAACGGACTTCGAGTCCTACCATCCTAAAGTTCTCATCGCCTCTACACCCTAATTATTAGCATTCTCAACCTTGAATTTGTCTTTGATTTTATGCCATCAGTACGGTTTCCGGTGCATAACCTGTGATATTAATGTTTGCCGGTGGCGCAACTAGATTTTGTGCTTTGGTGGCTGCCAGTGGGAGGTGTACCTTGGCCGTTTCCTCAGGCGTAGGCTTGAGGATTGAAGACGGTTTTGGAGTCGAGCGGAATCGTGACATCCATCGTCCTGGTTGCCCCCACTGAGGGGGATATGGTGTCGTAAAATGGAGCTGTGTTTGTCTGCTCACTGTCTATAGAGGATTGTCAATCTTCTCTTCGTTTCCATTTTTGGGGTCGCATAGAGTAGAATGGGACACAACAAGCGCACTGTGAGAGCTAAGGAAATTTGTAAGTTTTTTTTCCCTCTTAATACTGAATTGTTGTCATTTGGTAAGATTTCTTATACATATATTTTTGCATTTTTTATTGGACATTATTTAAGCAGAGAAAGGATATGTTTCCCGAAAGTGGATATTACCTAAGAAAATGAGGCGTTAGTGGTTTCCTTTTTTTTCTAAAGTCATTATGTAAGTAACGTGCAGTGTTTTTGAAGAGGGATCGTTTTAGATGAAGGGGAAATGGTTCAATTAAGTAGTAGAAAAGTAGAGGTGAAACAACGGGATGAATTTTACCAAAATAAGCACAGCCCTATCTTTTTTTAAATTTCTCTTTTGAATAAAACAAAACGAAATACTCGAAAATTCATGCCCTTTTATGGGGGAATTTTTTTCCCTTCTATTGGCATGACGCTCTAGGCCTTCTGTTGGCCACTTCTTTGTTCAACTTTTATAAGAAAAGTTCTCTGTAATGGAACCATATGATAACCTAAGAAAACTGGGTGGATAAAGAAACGAATGTCGATATGGATAAAGAAGGAGGTGGCGGGTAGAATCTGAGCAGTTAAGCGAATCAAATGGTTTAGAAAAATACTTTGTTAAAATAACATTTTCAGTTTCTCCAAGCAAACTTTTCTTTAATCCTGATATCTACAATCCGTTGCCCTTTTCATCGAATTATTGTTGTCATTACCCTTTGCTAAGTTACTTATCTTTTCACTTGATCGTATCTTTCCAGCCAAAACCATTAATATATATATCAATATATATATATATATATACCATAGTGTGGGTATCATATTTTAAGCTTTTTTTTTGAGTTTTTCATCTTGGAGACGTTTTTACCCCCCCCC